TGTATATTTATCCAACAGCTGCATGTGTCACAAATAGTAGTCTACCACAGATCCTACATCAGAATTACCTTATTTCCAATGGGGTTGTTGCAGAGGGATTAGAAATTGACACCGAAATGAACAACCATGTACATGACTTGTCAATTCATTCCTGATTTAATGCTTGTACTTAGCAGGATTCTGTGGTGCATCCAAACCCAGTGTGAGGACTTTGTGGTCCTGACTTAATACAGAAAGGAAACCTCTGAGACACAACTATCCAGTCAGATTAAATGTGTAAATGAAATCATTGCTGACCTCTTGCATCGGTGAAGGGGCTCATGTGTTTTGTACAAAAAAGCTCAACAGTTATAAAGTTGTTTGTTAATAAGGCTTAATGTTCAGTTATTGTTGCCCAGAATGCCTAATCTTTAAAATTTTGAAAATTAATTTGAAAGCAGATATGGAAATATATTTCTTATGAAGGATTTGGTAAACATTCAGTTCTTATGAACTCCTTCCTTGAGGGCCAGAAGAGGTCCCAATTATTCCATGCTAGACAGGAAACTGCTGATCAAATGGTCACAATGTGTGATGTGGCTGATTGTGTAACAAAATGATGATGATATTTGCTCATATACTGAGAAGAAAAAAAAGGAACACAGGAAAACTCAAGTGTTCCTTAAATATTTTTAATATTTTCCAATTTTCATCACCAGTTTTGAATAGAGCTGTGGTTTAGGAAATCTGAGAATAAATAAAGGAACACGGCCATGAAGTGGTGTCCCCTTATTTATTTCCCTCAGTATATTTTATAATGCTGATTTCAGCTTGATACTGCTTAGTGAAAAGAGAATGTATCTATTAACATAACAGATATTACTTCTTGTGAATTGTTTAATCTTTGTCATTAAAAGAGCTGTAAAGAATTTTGTTCATCACAAAGGATTACACATTCAACGTTTTGATGTAAATCAGGCTCTCATCCCTGTGACGTGAATATTCTGTGTCTTGTTAATAAATATGATTGTTATGCTATTTATAAATTTTTTTTATCTATGTTCAAACAGGAGTGTACAGAAGCATTCCGTCGTTGTAAGAAAATCAAAATATTTCAAATAACTTGCAAAGTAGGTTATGATTACGCCCACTGTCATTGTAACATCTTTTATAGATTGAAAGAATTTTCCTTGTGTTCTGAACTGTAACTATAAAATAATATGGAAAAATATTAAAGAACCACATGAAAGTACCTTAAAGCATTCAGGAAACATGTCTGTTGAAAAATATAATTAACATTGGAATTTGAAAATTATTCTTTTGAAACCACAAAGATTCCTCCTCTCCTACTCCTCCCAGTCATGATCTCAGTTCGGTACATTTTTCTCCATCATATTTTTGTATCAAGGTAATCTACTTATGTAGACATAAGTAAACACACTCTGAAACTAAGCTGCTGTAGCTTTTGTAAAAGAATCGCGCCAAAATATTGACAGTGGGGCCATTTTGCGGCAAATCTGTCAGTCGCTACTTTGAAATCTCATGATAAGTGTGGTAAAGAATGTGATTAGAGGGGATTTGGAGGTAGCCATATGTACATGGAATTCCGAGATTGTTTACCGAAGGATCAAAGTAGGAAAGGTGTAGGAGACTTGTTCTGCTTATGTTGACATACATAGGGCACATGTGAGAGGTTTGTACAAAATATGGGTAATGGGGTCATGGATTAGAAGGGAGTAAGTTTGGATTAACAGATTAGGAAGTATGTCTCTTAGTAATGGTGAATTAGAATCATGCTGTGTAACAGAAAATGTCCTTCATTCATAGGATGCCAGATGGATGGTGTGATGTCACGTACATTGATTGAAGTAATTTGTAGTGCCTGTCAAAACCTCTTAGTATTACCTCATGGATAAATGTTGGGTGTGTATTGTTATCTTGAGATGATGAATTTCATATTTTAAGAAGTCAGTGAGACATTGTCTTTATGATTAGTTGTAGGTAGATATTATCAGAATCTTTCGTATTTAGTTTTATTAAATTGGCAGTATTGGATCCAAAATGTTTGATGATCGGTTCATCTTTTCAATATAAAATATAACTGGAATTTTAGATAATTAAATCATTACTAGAATATTACTTCATTATGATGGAATATATCTTGGATCATATTGTTGAAATGTGCTGTGTATCCCTTTGCTGGGTAATGATGGTCTGATATTGTCAGGTACAATATGGTGCTATTTAAAGGAATTAGACGTAAGGTATCATTAAAATAAAGTTTGAACTATGATTGATATTACCTTTAATTATTTACCTTTTATGTTAATATTGTAACTTCATGTCCTCTTCCGCTATTCATCTTTTTCGGTAGTTGTAATTGTGAACTAATGAGGATTGAATGACCACCATGAATACTGAGCTTGGATAATATTTTGATTGTCTTAGCTGTTACTCTATCAACCACCAGTTTGTCTGTACTAGGCCAGAGTACAGCATTGGTAGATGTTCATCATTTTGACCACCAGTTTGTTCTAGGCCAGAGTACAGCATTAGTAGTTGTTCCTCATTTTGACCACCGCTCTTTTTGTCCTATGCCAGAGTTCATCATAAGTAGGTGTTCACAATTTTGACCACTAGGCCAGAGTACAGCATTAGTAGTTGTTCCTCATTTTGACCAGCATTAGTAGATGTTCATCATTTTGACTACCAGTTTGTTCTAGGCCAGAGTACAGCATTAGTAGTTGTTCCTCATTTTGAGCACCGCTCTTTTTGTCCTATGCCAGAGTTCATCATAAGTAGGTGTTCACAATTTTGACCACTAGGCCAGAGTACAGCATTAGTAGATGTTCATCATTTTGACTACCAGTTTGTTCTAGGCCAGAGTACAGCATTAGTAGTTGTTCCTCATTTTGACCACCGCTCTTTTTGTCCTATGCCAGAGTTCATCATAAGTAGGTGTTCACAATTTTGACCACTAGGCCAGAATACAGCATTGGTAGATGTTCATCATTTTGACCACCAGTTTGTCTGTCCTAGGCCAGAGTACATCATGAGTAGATGTTCACCATTTTGACCACCAGTTTGTCTGTCATAGGCCAGAGTACATAAATGGCAAATGTTCAACATATCAACCAAAACTTTGACTGTCCTAAGCTGAGTACATCATGAGTAGATGTTCACCATCTTGACCACTAGTTTGTCTGTACTAAGCCAGGGTACATCATACAGCATTTCGATTACTTCTTTGCTGCTTTCCTTGGCCAGAGTACAGCGATAATAGATGTTCACCATTCTTACCTCAAGTCCTGAGGACAGAGTACACAAAACTGCTTTAATAAACCTGGTTCACTGAGTTTAATAACTCCCGGTCATCTTGTTGGTAAAAACATCTTATGTTAAGCGCATGGCTATGAGCCATTTTGTTTTGTTTCTGACCAAAAGGAAAAGGATTACAGGGATGTGGTGCTTGGCCATGTCCTATGACAGCTGGCAAGCATGAAGCATTTTGTTTGCAAATACATTTTTAACATGGGTTTAGCATATAACGAACAAGTACCATGTGGAATGAATTTCTTTGTTTGCTTGGAAAAATTTGTGTGAAGTGTTGAATAAACATTTGACTGAGTTTCAGGGAGGGGGTGTGTGATATGTTTATTATTTATAGTAGTTGAACCAGTAAGAAATCAGGAGCTGGAAATATTCATCATGGTCATGAACATGATACGTTCATTCTTGCTTAATGGCGTTACAGATGTAACTTTACAATTTTTGTTAATTTGTACTGTTTCAATCTTCGTTAAATGATTAGAATTCCTGAAATTATAACAAGAAGTTTGAGGCAATAATGCCTTTCAAAAAATTGTTATGAATTTTTCATGTGTATTGGTCTCCTAGTTTCGTACCCGTGTCTTGATGGTTTGGGGGCAGGTGAGAATGAAACGAGAGTAAACTTTGCACCTTTTCTCGTTTGAGGTGCATGGTATTTGTTTACAGTCACCTGTTGTTGGCATGACGATGTGAATTAAGTCGTGCGTAAGGACCACCCCCTACTTGTTGATTAACAACATGATGGTCACAACCTGGCACCTTTACATAAAACGTTAACATCCGTGTTCTATTGGTGTTTGCCAGGGATGTCTTCTTTCCCCTTCTGTTTCCATTGTGAACCAATTTAAAGTTTTAACATCTTTCAGTCGGAATAAATATCATTGTATTTGTAAGGCAATCATCCACTTGCACTCTGTGATCAACTGGAGTTTACTGGTGTGGTTTGAATTGCCTGGGGATGCAAGTGTGACTGTATCTCCAGCCTAATGAGTCAGGGACAGGGACTCCAGGGACATGTGTTCGATGCTCTTTCATTAATCTTTGTATCTAGATTCAAATGAACTGTAATGCTAGATTACAGGATTGTGTTTGAAAATCATTTAATTTTTTGGTTGTAAATGATTAAGTTGTGTTTGTTAATAATTTATTTGTTGGAAATGATTTAGTTGTTTGAATGCCCATTATTGAGTATCATTTGTTTATGCCCCCATATTGTTTAACACTTCTTATGATAAAAAAGTGGCAAATGAATTATATTTGTAATAAGAAATTCACAAAACTGACAAACATTTAGGTCAGATTGTTGCAATTGTTGAAAAATATTTATGCCTCTTACTGTTGGATTTGTTGCAAAAACATGATTTATGAGTTGTATCATATTATTTCAGCAAACAAAATGTTTAAAATGTTAGCAATAAGTTATCAAGATGGTGAATGTTAAAAAGTCAAGGCTAGTATTCTAATTTTCTGGTGATGCTCTGCAACATTTGCAAAAAGTCCTGTGATTGATTCAAGGATTCACTATTTCCGGTGTCTGTCTGTTTCACCGAGCCCGGCATTCTCAGTTCATGTTTGGTTGCAGTCCGCGAACCTGTCACAAATAAATATTGATAGTTTGGATGATCACCCAATCCTAGACTTGAAACCAACACAAGATTTCACTATTTTCTTTTTCGTGTCTTTCCTAACAGAACTGCCAGTCTCATCATCACGCTCCCCTGTTTCTGATAAGCCGGTGTCGCGAGCAGCATCCTTGGAGACATTACTTACCTCGACAACAAAGGATCAACGGCTGCTTCATTTTGATTCCAAGAGACCGAGGGAAACAGAGTCCGTCAGAGGGAAACCACGCAAAGAAACAAGAGGTAAAATATTCATGAACTTATTTCCAGATGTTCTAATTATATTTACCTGAAAACATACAATGGATATATTATACATTCCTTGTGGGATTTTTACTCAGTGTAATATTCAAACTTAGTATTCAGTCAAGTGAAATGTTCTTTAATTATTAACCTCATTCACAGTCATATTAGAAAAGGTTTTAAATTGGGGATCATGCAAGGATAGCTTCTCCTTCTCTGTATCTTGTGCACATTATCATAAGAGAAATTATTATCAGTTTCCCTGAAACTTTTATTGGCAGATATATTTATGCTTTCTCAAGACTTGTCTATGGAACAAGTGCCTTGATCTTTCATCCAGAATTTATCACCAAACATGTATTTTCTCATCACGATTAACTGCACAATTGCCGATGTGGCTTAAAGCAATAGACACTCAATCGCTTGTATTTTGTATATATTCCTCCATGCACTGTACAGAAAGGTCACACGTCTTTGTTAATGTAATTCAAGTGTGTTAACTGAATGAAATAAAACCCACTCTTAGAATGAAGTAGATTTGAGATCATTTGTAGGGATAAAGCAGAAATTTCTGAAATGCCATGACTGTGGGCTGTTAATCTGGTGCTGAAGGATTAGGTTTCATGCCAATAGATGTGCATTGTTTAAGTTGTTAACTTAATGAGATGTGAAAAATAGGACAGGTGGGAACTTCAGGTCTTTGAATGGCATTCAGAAGTTATACACATAAGGAAGAGAGTTTTTATGGATGTCAACTTCTTTATCATGAGGAACACAACGTTTGGAGTATATCATTCACCTGATGAAAGAGTAAGGATATACTCCGAAACGTTGTGTTCCTCATGATAAAGAAGTTGACATGTATAAAAACTCTCTTCCTTAGGTGGGAACTGGACAGCTTTCAGTTATTTTGATTCAGTTTAAATCATGTACTAATAATACCAATCACAAAAGTTTACCTTAATACCTGTATATGCAGGTACAAAAAAGTGATGAAAAGCATGAAATTAAGATGTTATGTATGTGTGAAATTTTATGTCAGATTTATGTTTTAAATATAGAATGATAAATAATATCATAATATGGTAAATAATTTGTCTTGACAAATAAACAATTAGCTCCTAAGACTTATGTTTTTTGACAAACGCATACACTTTTCATACATTTCATGCACATATACTCAAATATACTCTGTCTGATGCAAAAGTTGCTTTAAGTTGTTAATTTATATGATTTAAATAGAATTTGATATTTTTTATAGATTGTGTGAAAGAAATGATATGTAATTAGCTTTGGCTAACAAATTTTTGTTGTTTTTTGGTTTTTGACGTTTAGATTAATTTGCAAAAACTTCCCTTTCATAATAAAATCTTCTTTGGCATTAACTGCAATCTGTTGCTGATTTGTATAGGCACTAAATATTCTCCATCAAAAGTGGACAGTATCTGTGTGTGTTGATTGGAATCAGGTTAGGAATATGCCTTTCGACTGCATCATCTATCTGTGTAGCAGGTGAACTATGGATCAACTGTTCTTGACATTCTGTCATATTCCATGAAATCCAAACACTCCTACTGTCCACTGATTCATACATGCTATAGGAACTGCAGATGTAGAAAGTCCTTGACCTTTAGACCGGTCAGTTACCAACATATTAATGAGCTGAATGATAAATACACACTCAATGAATATGAAATGATATGACATTGTGACCCCCAGCTGTCTTCCATACATCACACAAGTTTATAGCACCTATGTCTTTGATGTTGAAATTGACAATCATTGTCATTGTTTTATTACCTTACTCCAAGTTTTATGCTTTCCCTGAATGATAAACAGCACATATCAGTGTGAATCAGAACATTGTGTTTGCTTGGGTGTAACACTTGATGAGAGATTGTCTCAAGAATGAATAACGCTATTGCACCAGGTTGAATGTATGCAAGATGAATCTTGATCAGTTGATTAGAATAAGTAAGTACCTGGTCTTTTGTTGTATATTGCAAATGTATTCAGTTGTGGGTTACGGAATTTTGCTTTAAAAATTGTTATGGTTTTATGGTAAATGTAGTGAAAGTTGTTGCTGTAGTAGTTGTAGAGTTTGTTGTGAAATTGGTAGTTGCATTACCCTTGAAGATCTGGTTTGGAACTGGTGGTAAAAGGTACCAACTTTGATCATGTGGTCAGGCTTTCATATCCCAGTTGAGTAGATTGAAGCTCATGATGTCAATCATTTGATGTCTAGTCCCGATTTGATTGTTTACAGACAGCCTTCATGCAGCTGGACAATTACTTAATGCATTGTTAAACAAAGTAGTAGTAGTAGTAGTAGTAGTAGTAGTAGTAGTAGTAGTAGTAGTAGTAGTAGTAGTAGTAGTAAGTAGTAGTAGTAGTAGTAGTAAATTTAGTTTCAGAATCAGGTGTAGGAATAGCATATGAGTGGGTGAGTTTAGTTTTACACCTCACTCAACAATATTCCAGCTATATGGCGGCAGTCTGTAAATAATCGAGTCTGGACCAGACAAATCCAGTGATCAACAGCATGAGCATCGATCTGCGCAATTGGGAACCGATGACGTGTCGACCAAGTCAGCCAGCCTGACCACCCGATCCCGTTAGTCGGCTCTTACGACAAGCATAGTCGCCTTTTGTGGCAAGCATGGGTTGCTGAAGACCTATTCTACCCCGGATCTTCACAGGTCGAATAGCATATGAAATACTGTAAACGTACTTATTTTCGCGTGGTGCAATTTTCGCGGAATTGACAGTTTACATCGTGTGGTCAATTATTCGCGCAATCAGTAATTGCCGGAACTGCCAGCTGTCTCTTTGGCCGCCACTAATAGCAGTGAAAACAAACAGAGTGGCTTAACCTGTCAGGCGGCGTTTATTGCTTACTCACAGGAAATCCCTATCTGTGCGATATACTAGTACACAGTAATCGTAATCCGTTTACTCCCGGAAGAGATGAAAAACACATCAGTCTTATGTTCCGAATTCTGACGATTTGATGAATTAACTTATACTGTATATGAAGCTCTTTGTGATTTCAAACAAGCCGGGTTGTTGTGAATGAGATGATTGATTGTTAGTGACTATTCGCTTCATGATGTACTGGTGAATGAAATCTTAATGAATAAATAAAATACTGCTGTATTATTTCTTTCCGAGTCGTTTCACGGTAATCTGTTTTGTATCAAACCATCTGTCATGTGACCAATTTCCATGGCGGCCACAACACACATTGCTGTTTTCGCTAATTCAGCAATGGGATTTGGCTCATTATTTAATTATGTTTTGGGAAATCCAAGCTAAGTATGATCAGTCGTCATTTTAAGATTCCCGTTGATTTCTGTCTTCAAACGTGATGTGTTATGGTAACAACTCAGGGGCGAGCGTGGCTAGACTGAATGAATGACAGGTTTATTCGCGGTGTATAAATTTTCGCGCTAAAATGTTTTGCGCGAAAATTTATGTTTTGAAAATAAAACCTGCGCGAAATATAATACGTTTACAGTATCCATGATACATGGGACAAATTCTAATGTATCAAATGTGTATCTAAAGAGATATATTTAATATGATTATGCCCTTCACAAGTTCAGTATTTAAAGTTTGTTTCCTAAAAATCTCTCATAAATGTATTTTTAATGGGAAACATATAAGCGATATTGAGAGTGTATTATTATAAATTCATCATTTTTTCTTTTCGAATTTATTGCTAAAATACTTATCTATCCTTAAGAGGATAAATTGTCTTGACATGATAACCAGGAGGTGAGATAACCCAGTGGATAAAATGTTAGGTTATCATGCAAAAGTTCTAGGTTTGATTCCCACATTGGTTCAGCATGTGAGGCACCTCCTTGCTGCTGTTAAACCATCGTAACTTTTTATAATCTGGACTTGACATCTTGGAACAAGTGCAAATGATTAAAATCCAGACACTAAAAAAGCTTACCATGAAACCGAGAATAATTTAAGATAAAAGATGCTCAGATGAACGAATCTTTAAAATCATAAGAATTTCATTCAGAATAATATTAAGTCCAGCCACTGATCTGAGAATCTTGGTTGTGAATACTGGCTGTGTTTAACTGGATTATAGTCAGTGTTGCGGTGGACATTTATGGATGTTTTATGATAATGATGTCACAGCTATTTGGGTGGGTCAGGCTCCAGTGATATATGGACATTTGAAATATTCACTAGCTGGCCTACTCTTGAAGCGGGTCACTGATGTAAGGGGAGATTTGGGGAACGAGGAATTTTCTGTTAAATTTTAGTTAAATTATGTGGTGTGCAGTCAAATGTTACATGTAAATTTTGTTCATGAAAAATTTATGAAGTTTGTTTTCAAAGAACATGGACACCATATGTCACATTTACTTGTGCGTAAAAAATAGAGTGTTTTTGCAAGTTGCACTTGGCACCTTTGCAAATATTTTAGGGAAAGACCATTTAACACATGCTGCTTTTGCCACAAAGAAAATATTTAAACTTCTTGAGCTGTAGTCAGTGTAGACACTGAATGATGTTCCTGAAGAAATATTACTGGAATATCTTCTTGAAGAAGTATAAATCCCAACTCATTCACTGCTTGATCACCAGAAAGATATGATATTCTAATGTTATTCTGTGAAGGTGTAAGTACTCAATATATTGACATCAATAACCATTTTGGGTGGTGAGGTAGCCTACTGGTAAAAGCATCACGCTTGAAGACCCAGGTTCGATTCCCCACATGGGTACAATGTGTGAAGCCCATTTCTGGTGTCCTCCACCGTGATATTGCTGGAATCTTGCTGGAATATTGCTAAAACCATACTCACCCAGTAGTCATGAAGTAATCTGCCTCTACGTATTTGACTTTCTTTGTGACTGAGATACAACATCCAAATGCATTTAGACATTTTGTTTCAATGTGCTTTTAGCATACTATGAACAAATTTGATAAACCTGTAGCATACTATGAACAATTTTATCAACTTGTGCTGTTGACAATTTTGATAAATGTGAAGCATACTTTGAACAATTTTGAGGAGCGTGAAGCATACTTTGAACAATTTTATCAACTTGTACTGTTGACAATTTTGATAAATGTGAAGCATACTTTGAACAATTTTGAGAAACGTGAAGCATACTTTGAACAATTTTGAGAAACGTGAAGCATACTTTGAACAATTTTGAGAAACGTGAAGCATACTTTGAACAATTTTGATAAACGTGAAGCATACTTTGAACAATTTTATCAACTTGTACTGTTGACAATTTTGATAAATGTGAAGCATACTTTGAACAATTTTGAGAAACGTGAAGCATACTTTGAACAATTTTATCAACTTGTACTGTTGACAATTTTGATAAATGTGAAGCATACTTTGAACAATTTTGATAAACGTGAAGCATACTTTGAGCAATTTTGAGAAACGTGAAGCATACTTTGAACAATTTTGATAAACGTGAAGCATACTTTGAACAATTTTATCAACTTGTACTGTTGACAATTTTTGATAAATGTGAAGCATACTTTGAACAATTTTGAGAAACGTGAAGCATACTTTGAACAATTTTATCAACTTGTACTGTTGACAATTTTGATAAATGTGAAGCATACTTTGAACAATTTTGAGAAACGTGAAGCATACTTTGAACAATTTTGTGAAACGTGAAGCATACTTTGAACAATTTTGATAAACGTGAAGCATACTTTGAACAATTTTATCAACTTGTACTGTTGACAATTTTGATAAATGTGAAGCATACTTTGAACAATTTTGAGAAACGTGAAGCATACTTTGAACAATTTTATCAACTTGTACTGTTGACAATTTTGATAAATATGAAGCATACTTTGAACAATTTTGAGAAACGTGAAGCATACTTTGAACAATTTTGATAAATTTTAACCTTTTATGTTGCCATAATGGTCTCTATCTCATAAACTTGCTTTGTCAATTATTTGCATCCATCCACAAATTGTGGATCCACGTATAGAAAACCAAAAATGTCTGTAAAATCCTGTGTAAAGGGATGAAAGCTATGCAAACAAAACTGAATCCTTCTATCAAGATACCAAAGTGTGTTACTTGCGTAAAAATCTAAATATATGCTTATCTCAAAGCCTCCATGTTCATACATATTGAACAAGATTTCTTCAGGAATTTTAGTGGTTTTTAAAAAAATCAGTTATGTCGTGCATAACTTTTTTGTTGTGTAACTTATTTGTCCCAAAATAATAATCTGGTATTTGTGGCTTTGTTTATCTTACTCAGCGAAACCATGCACGCCTCATAAACGTGTTTGCTTATTAAACAAAATGGTTAAGTCTGTGTGCTTGGGACTGCTTGTTGCCAAGAATAGGCAACGTTTTTCACCATCTTCACAATGAATGCCATTATATGTAGTTAAGTTTGTGGACTGACATACCTCTTTGTTCAGCAAAGACAAGATGTGTTTTATGTAGTCGTAAACCGCCGGTCAGATGGCGATGTTAGCGTTTAATGATGGTCAGATTTACTGAAAGTGAAAGCAGTGTGATGATGGTGGGACAGAATGGAGAACATTGTCAGTGGTCACTCACGTAGTATTTTGGAGCTGATCATAACTTTTTAAGGTAAAACACTTTCATGTCATTAATCGTCAGCTGAATCTTTTGGTAATATTCAGGTCTTAATATATTCAGTATTATTTAACTTAATGCAAGTATAAATCCCTCATAAAACGTAAATCCTTTAAGGTGTCTGGTTCTAAAGTTACAATACATTTATTAAAATGTTTTTATTTTAAGGAAGTATAATTGTACATGTTATCAGATGACTTTTAATCGTTTTTGTTTATCCATGTTTTTTTCTTGTCCTGAACAGACATTTTACTATTTGATATGATTTATATATAGTACAGTATTTTTTGTTGTCTACAAAACAATCATTGGTTTTACTGGTACTCTCTTTTTAAATACAAGTGTCCTTATATATATTTTATTATGTCTGTCATTGTAAACGAATATCAACAGATGTTTTTTATCAGAAGTTAATGCCAAAAGTAACTTGTATATATCATATGTCAATCATTATATATTTTAGGCATTAATCATTGTTTATATCACAAGTCACTTTTGTATGTATATTCAATGCCACTTATGGTGATAATTGTCACATATGGCTTGTTGTATACAGACATTATTCATTGTTTATATCACATGTCACTCATTGTATATATCACATGTCAATCATTGTATATATCATGTTCTGATCATTTGCACATACTTGGTCACATTTCTTCAGACCCTGTCACTTGTTATATACAACACTGGACTTTAAGAGGCTTGTTTTTCTGGTGTTTAGAGCAGTTTGACATTTGGTGAGATTTCTGACATTCCCACGTCTATTTACACACCCGTGTCACTCGTGGAGTTCCAAAACTTGATCAACTTGTCAAATAAGAGGTTGTCATTACATGGTGTCAGGTGAAAGTTCAATCCGGCAATTACATTCACATCAAAGACAAGAGATGAATGTTAATCATATGGTCGTACCTCAGAACAGTCTCGTGCTTAAGGAACATTCGCGGAATCTATGAAGGCGTCAAGGAACAGCCTCTTTCCCATCTAGAATATATATCATCAGATTGGGTACAGTTTTCAATTCAAGCATTAATGTTGAAGACATTTCATGGTTTCTTTTGAAAATTTGACAAAACATTGACTTATATGGAAGACATTTTCAAATTTGACTCATCAGTGGTGAAAAAAGATGTCTGATGCAGTTCCCTAATTTGACTTGTAACTTATGTTCCCAGGTGAATAATTGACAGGCCTTTGCATGTGTGTATGATTGGTGATACCAGTGGGTCAGAATATATTTACCATTTGGCGAACTCTTTGGTATCATCACCTTTTGATGGTGGTTCATAAGCACATACTTGGTGTTATCAGAATCGTACAATCAACGCTTGGCAGAAATTTCTTGTGGGTGTGAAAAGGGTTCATTGTCGCTTTTACTTCCATGTTGTTGCAAATCTTTGTTAGGTAAAACATTTTGAAAGGGATCGAATGTTCAAAATTTTGTGTGTTAGAATGTGATTGGCAGGGATAAAAATGTAAAGGCCAGGTTGATATATGTTTTCAGTGCCATCAGGGTTCAGCTATGCTGTACTCTGAACATATACAACTCAGCATCAGTTAGGAATACCTGTTTTTGCAAATAAACTTTGGTTATATGTAGTGGTGGTACAATTGATTGAAATAATCGAAGATTGGTCGTAATGACTAAACGACCAAGCAATGATTCGATCACGTTTTGTCATAATCGAACACAAACAATTTTGGAACGCTTGTTTGTATTGACAATATTTATCACAAGGTTGGTTTTGTTTGTTGTGTTTCATAAGCACTACAAGCTCGTTCCCAGTCATGGTTAAAATTTATCTTGCAGACTCCAGGAAATTTATGTTCCTAACATATTAGTTATCCTTTAAAGACATGAAATTTACCAAAACAACCGAAAGAACTACATGGTTTTTTTCTTTATTTTGTGTGCATTAACAAATATAACCAAGACAATTTGATAAATAATGCTAACCAACTATTTTCGATGATTGATCGGTTGTAATGAACCAATCATCAATTATAAGATTTTAACCAATTCCCAACACTAGTTATATGTCATGGCTTGTGAGAAATACTACTAAAAAGAGGTTAAAGAGAATACAAGTTTATATACGACAAAAAGTGACTGTTTTGACTTGTTGGTTTTGCAGCACAAATCATCACTGTTTCCACATGATCTCAATGATCAAATGACCTACATTCTCTGTTGCTCCACATACTCTGAATGATCAAATTAGCTGTACTCACTGTTGCTGTAGAGGATCTGAATGATCAAATGAGTTATATTCACTGTTGTTCCACAGGATCTGAATGGTGAAATAATTCGTATTCACTGTTGTTGCAGACTAACGGGATTTGATGGTCAGGCTCGCTGACTTGGTTGACACATGTCATCGATTCCCAATTTAGTCCAGACTCGATTATTTACAGACTGCTGCCATGTAGCTGAAATATTGCTGAGTGCGGCGTAAAACTAAGCTCACTCACTCACTCATTTACTGTTGTTGCAGAGGATCTAAGTGATCACATGAACTGTATTCACAGTGGATGTTAAGCTTTTGATTGCTAGAATTGAGTTCAAAGTGTTATCCCTGACCTACAGCTGTTACCATGATGTTGCACAAGGAAATCTGAAAGAACTTCTCCAGAAATATCTTCATGCAAAACCTGAGATCCAATGATCAACTTTTATTTACCATCCCCAGGACCAATCTCAAATCCTTCGGCCAGAGATCATTCTCATTCTGTGCTCCTTCTCTCTGGAACTGTCTTCCTTTTGATATCAAAACCTCCCCATCTTTAGCTGTCTTCAAGTCCAAACTTAAAACCCATCTCTTCTCCAAGTACTATCCTTGATACCTGTGCTTTGAGCAACCGCAACGAATGGAAAATAGCGCAATATAAATGCACTTATTATTATTATTATTGATCAAAGGAATTTTCTGTTGTTGCAGATATCTACCAGGAGGCATTCGAGAGTGCCCGGAGAGCGGAAGAGATCAAGTTCAAGACCAAGTTTGATCAACTGTTGGCGGAGCTAACCGGAGCCCTGGACGAACAATCTCCCTCCGGCATCTCCTCCACCTTCGGGAGCACATCTTGTAAGTCATCCTTTATTGAACACCAGGCCCTCTGGAACTCAACCATGAAGGTCTGGGTTACATTTGGTCTTCAGCAATCCATGCTTGTCGTAATAGGCGGCTAATGGGATGGGGTTGTCAATTTCGCTGACTTGGTTGACAAATGTCATTGTATCCCAATTGAAATTGATGCCAATGATGTTGATCACTGGATGTCAGGCCCCGACTTGATTATTTACAGACTGCCAACATATAGCTGGAATATAGCTGACAGGAGCATGACTCAGGTGTACCCAGAATGTCTGTATGTCATGAATAGTGCAAAAATTAAGTTTATAGTGAAAACTAAGAACGTGTGTAAACAAATTGAGAATGTTAAATTGTGAGAATGTCAGTGTGCAGTGAAGAGTAATGTGTTTTGTATACTGTTAATAGTTAGTGTGTGCGTATGGTTTTATGCTGCTTTGGGCAATATTGCAGCAATGTCATGTTAGGAACACCAGAAATGAACTTCACACAATTTACGTATGTGGGGAACTGAACCCCTCTCCGGCTTGACAAGCGAACACTTTGTCCACTATCCCACCCGACCACCCCTTGTGAACAGTGAGAATGTTGATGAACGGCGTTAAACATTTTTTCCAGTATGCATAATTGACTGGCTAATATGTCAGTGTTATTTTATGTATACATGAGTGAACAACTGGTATGTCGGTGTACAGTGAATACATTTCATGCATTTAAAATCATCATGGTTTTCATGGTTGACTGAAAGGCTGCTACCAATGTGACCCAGTGGTGGTGAATGTAATTAATAAATGTGTAATGTTTCACTAAAATTTGACAAATCTGATTATGAAACTTCTACATGCTATTTTGCAATTAGCTCAATGTCTAGTTTAGTCCCCAAATCCAGCAATGTTGCATTGCAAAGGTTCCATCCTGAGACATTATTTGTTTAAACCAGTAAAAGATGCAAAGAGCATACTACTCCAAAAGTAGTTAAGGACCACTCTGATTTGGTATTACAGGTGAACTATAGAGACTCAGAAGAATCAGGCGATCCTTAACTTTCGTTGAGTAGTATATGACATGAATATGAATACATAGAAACAGAAACATGACACGATATTGTTAATTATAGATGGCGAGGCGATGTTGACATTTCGCAGTCGGATGAAGGAGCTCCTCACAGGGTTTTCACAGAGACTGCAACTTGCCTATGAAAGTAAGTCAGAAGCACACAAACACTGTACGGAGATTAGCTCTCAGTATTCCTGTTAATAGTTCACCAACATGGATCAGAACCTCTGAATAATGTGTTCTGAAAGTTAAGTGTTGTAAGACAAAACATGACAGAATGGAGAAATGAAACTGTTGTTTTCAAACTGAAAATCAATACTCGTGACATTGTCAGTACAACTTGAAATACAATGTAATGTGAGGGCTGCTAGTCTATATAGTAATACAATGAATCTCAGATACAGTAACATGTGAAAATTCATTACTCACAGTCGGTGAAAGTCTTTTCCTAAAGGAGTAATGCATACAAAATGTTCGTCAAACTATACTACAGTGATGTTAGGAGAACACCTAGTTATGTGATATGATATATACACTGAACACTGTCTCACAACTCTCTACACACCAACATGTAACCGCAAAATCACGTTCTGTACCAAGAGGTCACAGTCAGTTTTGCTGAAGTTTGATAAATGCCTATTATCACCTTAATTACCCTGGATTAATTCAGATTTCATCCGACCCGTAAAGATCCGGGGTAGAATAGGTCTTCATGCAGCAACCCATGTGCTTGCCATAAAAGGCGACTATGCTTGTCGTAAGAGGCGACTAACGGGATCGGGTGGTCAGTTTGCTGACTTGGTTGACACATGTCATCGGTTCCCAATTGCGCAGTTCGATGCTCATGCTGTTGATTACTGGATTGTCTGGTCCAGACTCGATTATTTACAGACTGCAGCCATATAGCTGGGATATTGCTGAGTGTGGCGTAAAACTAAACTCACTCAGATTTCAGATTTTCCTGTGTGTATGAAACATATTGGTGCCTTAGTTTAACAAATTGTCATCATCTACGCAGATGATACTTACTTCTACCTTGATGACCATGCTTGTCGTAAGAGGATCGAGTAACAGGATCGGGTGGTCAGGCTCACTGACTTAGTTGACACGTCATCATATCCCAGTTGCATAGATCAGTGCTCATGATGTCAATCAGTGGATTGTCGAATATTTACAGACTGATTCCATATAGCGGCGCTAAACAATAGCCTAACCTAATCTACCCTGCAGGGGTGGAAATAACCCATTGCCCGACGTCCGAGGGCAGTGTTTTTCTGTCGGGCAAGCAAATTTGTATATCACATTGTACCGGTGTCCAGTTGACTTTCCAATGTTATTTATGTTGTTTATTTTCAAAAATCAAAAAGAAAACGTCCGGGATAGTGGAAATACTATCAGGGCAAGTGATTTTACATGTGCCACTGTTCCGGAGTACACTAGCATTTTTAAAGTTATTTCCACCCCTCCCCTGATGAAAGTTGTGGAGATGATATATGTTTTAGGCTTTGGCACAAATCTGCTTCCACGTGTCTGTTTTATTACCCTTTGTATCATTAAAATATTTTATCATGTATTCAATTTCAACACTGTTGTCAAATTTATGCTTTCACAAAAATAAAAAACATAAATGAAGGGTGATACATGTTTCATTTGTCTTTCTCTATCAAAGGATACTAACAGATATCACACATCAATACTTTCTTGAGCTGACACAGCACATGGGCTTACTCACATGGCAAGGCAGAAATTGAGATTTTATGAATGCTTCCTTTACTGTAGGATCACTCCTCACCATCACAGCATGGATATTTGATTGAATACATTTGGATCATATCTGTATAATCGTGAATCACATTACTCTATACTGTGATGGTTTGAAACTTTGCATTCAGTGTTAAATATGTATTTTATTAATTCCAGGTTTTGATATTCCCCACGAAGGAGAATCAACTAATCTTCAGGTTCGACAAAATGTCTCCAAAATGGTTGAAGGTCTCTTTGGTGAATCACTTGATTTGGTGAGTAAAGTAGACTGTCAGTTATGTTTTATCCTTATTCTTATCCTTGTTTTATATTATTTTAGCCGGATGGATGAAGATGTAGGCTTGTGTTCATGTGATCAGCAGAATCAAGTTTCTTTAGGCTCCAGCCTCTGTGATGGCCAAGTATTAAGTTAGGCTACCCAGTCTTATCGGTTGTTTAATTGACACATATTGAAGACTAAATGGTGGAATATTGCAAGTAAGACAAACACGGGCAGTAATCAGTTGTTTGTTTTAATTGTGGACTTACAGATCATTAAAAAAACAGCTTTGTTTGAAATGGAGTACCAGAAATGTTTGATTGAGGTCTTGTTGATTTGCACCAAATTAAGGTATTGAGTTTATAAAAAAAAATGTCAAAAATCAGAATAACCTAAACACATCACACATCACAGAATTTGTCTTTTCCAAAATTTAGATATTATGTGTCCAAATATATGCCATATTTAAATGATATGTATGTCCAAATATATGCTGTATTTATATAGTATGTTATTTCATAAGAAGCTATTTTCCATTGTGGACTGACTTGATTACTTAAATCATGCAGTTTAAAACAGAATTTGCAGCTTATTAGTCTAGTGTTTAGATTAGTCCATATTGGGCCACACTTTATTGTACAAAATATCCCACTGCATTAAGAAAATTTTATTACTGACCAAGAATAATGTTGAATGAAATTTACTAAGATCATTTAAATGTAATATTTTGTATATTGAAATATCTATTTTTAAATAAAAGCTCCCAGAATATATTTCAGAAAATAGCCCAAAGTAAACACTTTTTATACCTTTTCTATAATAAACAAGAAAGGTTAAAGAATAACATTTTAAGCAAAAAATACAACAGATAATAATTACAGGAGAACAAAATGTCCATGTTACCACAGAAATAAATAACTTCTCTGTTAACCACCAACTCAGCAGAGCCCCCCTGCTTAAGGACATCGAGTGTTTAAAGGTAAAACCCAAAGAGCTAATTTCCTCATTTGGGAGCTTGTATGTACACACTGGTTAAGACTGGGAGAGCCCCACCCGTGCCAGTAAGTCTCAACATGCAGAGCATGATGACGTGGACATTCGCAGCTGTCGTATGTCTACCTACGGTGCAAAGCATTAACCCCTCGCTGAGCCAAACTGAAGCCAAACTGAGTGCGTTTGATGTTCCTGAGTAAAACTAAACACAGCTCTGATGACATTTTCGCCGATGTTTGACTTGTTGTTTTTGTGTTATCTTAGCTACGGAGCCTAAACTTGGCCATTTCATTCCTTTGACCTATCCGAATTTGTCTACCTTGCAAACAATTATCTTTGCTGCTTTTCGAAAACCATGGAATAATCGTGGATTTCAGGTTTGTAGATTTCGTTTTGTCATTGATTGCTTGTCGATTTTGTGTCGGTGAGGGAGATTGAAGGTTGAAGAGGCATTCCTTCTGGTGTTTATTTCGCTGAGCTGACAGTGCAGTTCAGCTTGTGATATTGGCGACCTTTTCTCTCCACCTCAGCAGAATTTGACACTTTCCGTTTTGGATGTTTCTGTTTAAAATTAGTTCTTTGAAACACACTGTAATGATTTAGGAACCTGAATTTGATCTTTGCTAGAATTTGTATATGTGTGTTTGAAAAACTCAGCTGTTAGAACCTGTTTTAAAATTCCTGATGAAACAATAGAGAGTGAAGCTTTTATACTAATGTCTTAGCTGATGTATTTCAAACTGCTTAATATTTTAAAATTTGAGATAGGGATGTTTATGGGTGTCAACCTTGTATATACATGAAGACATGCTTACATGTATTCTGAATGTCTAGTTACAAATGCAGTCTTATCTAGTTCAACAGTAACTCTCAAACATATCTAAATTTAACTTTTAACAGAGTTTAAGCCTTGAAATTACATTATTCTCAACCCGTAGGAGATCGTTTCATTAACTCTCACGGTAGCACAGTATTTCTCCAGGACTTAAACAAACAGTGAGCGTGTCACGTCAGAATGGTTCACCGCTGTCCCTAATACAACATTCCTTGATGTAGATTGCACTCTCTTCAACACACCTTCCCTGTGAAACACTTGCAGGGCTAATGTAAATTTCACTGCTGAAATTGACGTGCACTTAGAGAAAAATATGCAATTGACATTTTCCGTGAGGATGAGTAATGAGTTTACTGTCCTTGAAACAGTTATTTGAATTGCTCTTCTTGTTTTGATAAGGCAGCATGTTTAGGATCTTTGTTATAGAATAGTAACAGAATTCACTTGTTGAAGGGTTGATACAGTAGACTGTGGTTATAATGAACTTAGAAGGACCACTAATTTTAGTTTGTTGTTTCTGTAATTCATTTTAAATATTTTGAATAAAATAAACAGCATGTTGACAGGATCGACGAGAAACTGTTCATTATGTCCATAAGTTCATTATAAGCATTATCATTAAAATATAATTGAAAGTATACATACTTTGCAGGTTTGTGATTGTAAAAGAATAACTATCAGATTCAAAATGCTTATTAACATGAAATTGAAATCTCGTTAAGATTTTACCCAGTGAGTTTCTCATTATTTTTTAGCAATTCATTGAGGCTGTTTCCACATTTGAAGTCTTCAGTCGACAGATAGTTCTTAAGTACCAGTGTAAAATTGGCCTCCGGAACTAACAGGGTAGATAGACACGGTTATTACATTTGAACAATGTCAGTTGGATAGATGGTAGCTCTTGATGTTTCCACTTGCCTGAACGCCTTTCATGATCGCCGGTAAAGATGAACATGGAGATATTGTGATGTAAATCTGTGTCATGGTTAACCCTGGCTGTGCTAGAGGAGGCAGAATTTTCTGATTAACTTGTAAGAGAGCTTTAATTTCTGTTGGAACACAGGTGAAAATTCCCATATCAAAATGACTACTTTTAAGTTCACATTATCATAAAACAGAATTAAATTGCATTAGTATTGAAAGTAAAATTTTGATATTTGATATCATTTTGATATTCTAAAGAATTAAACTGATGGTTGTAGTCCTCTAAATTTTGATGAGAAGATTTATGATCGTATCGGGGTTACAGCCAAGTGGTTTAAGCAAATGCTTGCCATAGCAAAGATCCAGGGCCTAGATTTTCGAAGCTCTCCTAGCGCTAAGATAGTCGTAAGTTAATGTAAATGTATGGCACTTACGACTATCTTAGCGCTAAGAGAGCTTCGAAAATCTAGGCCCTGGATTGTTTCAGTGTGGGTAAAATATGGCCATTCCTGGTATCCAGTGTTTTGGCCTAGAATAATGCTAAAATTGGTATACAACCACACACCCTCTGGAACCCATGCAAGCTTGTTTTACAGCACAACAAAGTGGATTGTGTGGCCTTGGACAGTGAGTTGGGGGATTCGTTGTCATATTCAGCTGGCGTGGGATATTCCTCGTTAAACAAAGTTGGTCCAGATTTGATTAATTTTAGCCCCCCATGAAATGCTCTGGTTTATGCAGTCAGCATTACAACACACAAACAAAAATAGATTTTGACATTTTGTCAGTTTATTAATAAATTGTTGTCACAATATCAACATGTAAATATAACTTGGACAAAACAAACTACATTCATTCATTCATTCATTCATTCATTCATTCATTCATTCATTCATTCATTCATTCATTCATTCATTCATTCATTCAGTTCATTCATTCATTCATTCATTCATTCATTCATTCATTCACTCACTCACTCATTCATGCAAGAATCCAATTAATGTTCAGATCACATATATAATATGCATTCATTGCGTTATTGGAAAGAGTTCCTTACATACCCCCTGCCTATTTTTGTGATGAGCAAACACTATAGTTTAGTCTATAGTTCATAGTTAAAAATTAGGTGGGGGGGTACGTAAGGAACTCTTACTGCGTTATATTTTCTGAGAAATTGATATATTATTTAGACTTTGATCATGTTATATTATCATCTGAGGGGTTAAAACATTTAAACAACGTAAACACAGTTGATAACAGAGGTATTTCCTTGAGTCAAAGATACCACGATAACAGTGCATGTTGTTGATTTCACCACTGACTTGACAGGTAGGTGACAGTGATGTAATGAATGGCAGTTGTCATGGTCACAACTGGTAGATATTTCACTCACACAAGTATATGATCTATTTCAGGCAACCTTTGTGTTAGTTTATGGAATAGGTGGAGTCACATATATGGAATTAATTACTGTAAAACTTCTGTATTTTGAACCTGAAAAAGTCTTAGGTTACATGGTGTTGTATTTCTGTTTAAAAGTAGCAGCTACAATTTCAAACTTAATAAGAAGTATATTTAAGACATACTTGCATCTGGCAATAATATTTTCAAATAAAATTTATCTTGATATATACCAGTGGTTTGTAGGTGGTTTCAGGATATAGGATTCTACTCCCTGCTTCCGTTTACTGGTTTTAAAGGCCCATTCTTGATATTGATGATGATGATGATGATGATGATGATGATGATGATTACGGTTTTACGTCGCTTTTAGCAATATTCAAGTAATATAATGATGGGGTACACCAGAAATGGGCTTCACACATTGTCGACCCGGGTCTTCAGCATGACGGACAGATACTTTAACCTTTAGGCTAACCCACCGCCCCTATAATTCTTGATAGTGACGCCATGGAAATATTAGAGGATGTTAATAAATGGCCAATGCATTTTCGACTTTTAAGTTTCTCATAAGAAACATGGGGTTTAGTTGTCCACAATGGCTGTTAGGAAGAAATAACACAAATTTAAGTGCATGTCCAGTCATACTGTAAGGGTGGAAAGGCACTCACACTCTTGACCTCCACTGATCATTGATGCTCATACTGTTGATCACTGGTTTGTCTGATTAAGGAGATAGTTCTGTGTATAAAAATGTAAGAAATGTACACTGTTACATATCTTCTAACTTGTTCCATTTAATCCTGAGTGGGTAATAATAATAGAGTTCAGCATTTTTTGACATACTTATGCAATTACTCATCTTCAATGCTGAACAAAGATACTGGAAATTTAATTCCATAATGATGAAGTTAATCACAGATAATAAGCAGCCTGGGTAACCCACCTACGCACTCATCAAAGAGGTGGGGTTCACACACAGCAGCAAAAACATCAGTAACAATAAGAGGCAGTCACCCGAAACATACCAGAATGTATTTCTCAGCTGACAGCTATGTATTTCACGCACTTAAAAATGAGGTTATTTACGACACATGTGATTGTGGTACACTTTGTGTACAGGTATGTATTTCCTTGTTGAAGGCTGTAGGTGTGACCCGTGTTCATCATGACAGGGTGATTCTAGTCCAGTTATTGTGGTGTGTATTTCACACTGGTATCTTCATCTTGTCTGGGACTCAGGTAGGTTGTGTTGTCTATTTCATCGTCATATCTTCAGTTGATGGGAATTCAGTTTGGATGTGGTGTGTATTTCACACAAATATCTTCATCAAGGTTGAGATTCAGGGACTTTTGTGATGTGTATTTCATACTGTTTTTTCATCTTGATGGGAATTCAGTTTGGATGTGTTGTGCTTTTCACACTGGTATATTCATCAAGGTTGAGATTCTGGGACGTTTGTGTTGTGTATTTCATACTGTTTTTTTCATCTTGATGGGAATTCAGTTTGGATGTGTTGTGTATTTTAAAGTGGTATCTTCAACTTGGCTGGTTTGTTTTGGTTCATGTCAAGTTGATCATTTCATTCAGATGCTGTTGACGTCATCCATGTGAAATTAACATATGCTGAACTGTAAAGAGACATATTTTCATGTCTATAGCAGTGTCGTTACCTGTGGAGGAATGCTATTGAAATCTGTCATTTTTAAAGAAGGCGCACAAGTGTTTCACACTGTTTATCTACGGTTTAATACAGGTATTCCGACATTCTTGTTGCAAGGTCTGTAATGTACCTCAGAGTTTAATTCTGCATTGATTCATTAAAAAAATTTGTTCTTGATGTCAAAGAAAACTTTGTCTAGTTGGCAAGGTCAAGGTCCATAATCACAATGACTAACACGAAGGAGATGTTTCAAGGATGGATGACTCTCCTCATCATATTCTTTCTGAATTCCATTCAACAAAATACACATTTATGGAGATATTTGTTTACATGTGTATCACTGATGGAAATGTGTAACTGTTGTGTCATGGTTTGATAGGGGCGGTGGGCAAGCCTAGAGGTTAAAGCGTATGCTCAGCAAGATGATGACTTGGGTTCGATTCCCCACATGGGTACAATGTGTGAAGTCCATTTCTGGTGTCCCTCACCGTGATATTGCTGGAATATTGGTAAAAGCGGCGTAAAACTAAACTCACTCTCTCATGTGTTGATTATTTTAGATTTAATTGCTAGTTTTAAATGGATATTTGTGATACTCTAGTAGTTTTACTGTTCTTCGTCAACAGGTTTTTTAATGTCTTACTTTATTGATCTATAATATAATTATGAACTGTTCTCGTGACGATATGGCTGAAATATTGCCGATGTGACGATAAATATTAACTCACTCACTCACTCACTCATGTGTTGATACAGATCAGTTTAGATCCTATTTCAAAAGTTGTGCAACTTTGATAAAATTCATTGGTGATTCACTGTTAAGGCAGTGCATCTCTTTCTTAAAACAAATTGACAAAGATTCCTTTCAGGAGGACTTTAATTGTTTTGGTGAACACGGGTCTCAGTTACTTGAGCCATCACAAGTTGCTGTGCAGAGTTGTCTCCCTTGATCATATCACTGAAATTAGATCCCAGATTTATCCTGCTTATTATCATGCCTACATGCAGGGAGACACTGCAACATGCTGAATAAAGAAGTATTAAACTTTATCCACTCACTCAGCACCTTATCGTCTTCATGGGTTTCACCAAACAGCTACGTCTGTATCACTTTGTGCTTTCGTCAAACATTGTGACATTAGTGAAATATTGTTCAAAGTGATGTTAAACTCACTCGCTCGCTCCCTCCCTCCCTCCCTCACTCACTCACTCACTCACTCACTCCAGTCCCTTTACCATCAGATAGACGAAAAATGGGTAGCTATGAGGTTAAGGCACTCACTTATTACACTTGAAGTCTGGGTTTGTTTCCCACAATGCATACAATTTGCACAGCCGCGAGTTCTTGCTGTAAAATATATTTTGGAATTTAGGAGACAATGATTTGAGAAAACACTCACTTGCTATAATGGTGATTTATTTAGCACTTTTGAACTGTTACACTGTATGTGATGTCTATGCTTATGATTCAGACATCAGACAACATACTCACTTGCTACGATGGTGATTTATTTTGTGATTGTAGCTGTTACACCATGTGTATTGTCTACGTTTATGATTCAGACATCGGACGAAGCTGTGTCAGATCTGTCGTCCCTGTCGGATGATTCAGGAGGAGACCAGAACTCATTTGAGGACCAGATTGCACAAGCCATCGTTTCCAAGGTAACCACAAATAAACACACTTAGTCCATGAAGATTGGTGAAAGTTTATAAAAAGTTTAAACATCAACAGAAATACATTGAAAGTATAATTTACATGACATTCAACATTCTTTTGAAGAACCACTTTTGTTTATTATGATGTTTTCAGAATACTAATTATAAGTAAACCATGTGTCAAGATTAATATTTTATGTGTTTCACTCCAATATTCATATTTTATGTGTTTCATTCCAATATTCATATTTCATGTATAGAACTCCAAAGAATCTCATAATCGGGGTGGTGGAGTAGCCTAGTGGTTAAAGTGTTTGCTCGCCGAGGACCCGGGTTTGATTCCCCACATGGTACCATGTGTGAAGCCTATTTTTGGTCTCCCCCGCCATGATATTGCTGGAATATTTTCAAAAGTGGCGTAAAACTAAACTCACCATAATAATCCCTCGTTCACTTGGTTCGATGGATTGTTATAGCATTGCCGTGAGAACAGCTCTCCCATGTTTGTAAACTGTATCATCAGCTTGACCTTGAATGGGCACAATATGCCCCAGCAGCTCCATCAATGAGGGGTCACAAAGACATGCTTGATTCTGTCTGTGACAATTTATCTATGGTCAAACTAACCCTTTGATGTGTGGATTGATAAACCAATTTCCCAATGATGGCTGATGTGGAGAGACCAAATGAGATGAATATTTCGTGCTTTGAGGGGTCGTGTGTAAAGGTCATACAGTCTGTTAAAGTAGTTTCAAGTCACAGAGCATGGAAACAAGTATTTATCTTTTATGCTCCAATTATCGAGTGCATTGCGGTGAACTGGAAAATGGAGATATTGACATCAGTCGGGAGTGGGGCAGGGTCTTGATTTATGTTTTTTTTACGATAATGGGCTGGATTCAAATGACAAACTGATTGTTTGTTAACTTTAATGTTTCTCATTCCTGACCCAAAATTCACACAATATTGGTGGTATTCTTGTACTTTTTCATCAGATCTATTTCAAGAGCCAACATGGCTTGTCTCCCCTTCATGATGTGTAAAACACTGACCCGTGAAGATCCAGGTTAGAATTGGTCTTCAGCAACCCTTGCTTGTCGTAAGGGCGACTAACGGGATCGGATGGTCAGGTTCGCTGACTTGTTGACACATATCATTGTATCCCATTTGAGTAGATCGATGCTCATGATGTTGATCACTGGGTTGATTAGTTACAGACCACCACCATATAGCTGGAATATTGCTGAGTGTGGCATTAAACAACAAACAAACAAATAAACAAACAGTTTTCTGGATGTTCAAAGGAGGGCACAAACATGGATGCGTTGTTGCAAAACAACATAGCGCTACAACTGTCATTAGTGTATGTTAAGGCATCCAAGTTTCGGTAAGCGCTGAGGTTGCTTTGTACAACAGAACTCTGGGACTTAGGAATGTTTCATTGTGATTTAAATCTCAAAGAATTGGTTTTTTTATGTAAATGCAAATACATTATTTGCCTCATCGAGAATCAAATTTATATCCTTTGTATATATGAGGGCCTTATGGTCAGTTTCATTTGAATTATTTCTCATGACATATTGTTATCTTTAGATACTAGAGAATCACAGAAGGGAGGTAAGCGAGAATCTTGATCAGCCTGATGGAAGGTATTCCTATGGAGGATACAATCATACTGTGGAAGAAGATCAGACCAGTGATATTGTGAAAGACTTCGAAGAATTGCGAAGCTTTGTGAAAAAGACACAAGCCCGACCTACGCTAGTGTCACGTGATATTGAAGAACAGTTGAGCCCAATTGATGAAAAGCCGATTGAAAAAGTAACATTGAACAAAGACGAAGCAGCAGAGGACTTCCACATAAGATGCTCCAGTGCGGAGAGAGTTCATAATGCTGAACCACCTCTTCCTGATTTCTCAGAATTTGAGCATATAAACTTTGATACCTGACGAAATCGACCCTGACTTGTTGTCGATGAATCTCGCAATCATTCCGGAGGAGACGGAGGAGGAGCTGGAGGATGAAGCTAACGATGCAGATAAGCCGGGACGTGAGAACTGGATCTTCAAGGGAATGGTCTCTCCTTATGACAACCTTGGTAATCGTCGGGTTGGTAATGATGAAGGGAAGCCACTCTACATGATGGTTCCCCAGCCAGAGGATGACTTTGTGCCGAAGGTTGGAAACAGGTGAGTTGGTGGTTTCTGTAACACTGGCTGGAATTGGTCTTTTGTTGTGATGACTGAATTAGTCAGTTCTGTGATTTATGGAGAGAATGGATTACCTTTGTTTGTTTTAATTGTTTACTGTTATAGATGAGGCAGTCTGGCTGTGTGGTTAGAAGATTAGAAATCATTTAGTTTCTTACTTGTCTTTGGAGATAAGGAGATGACCGGTGTCAGTCTTAACTGAGTTAACAGAACTTAATTGGGAGGCCACAAGTACTGCAGAGTAGGGTAGTACTTAGTCTGTCTCACAGTCCACATTAGTACAGTCCACAGAACCACATTATTTTCCCTACTGCCAAGCCCTATCTGCAGTGCTAAAGCCCTAAATAAAGCAAGTCTAGATTTTCTCAGGTTCTGAATCTCTGGTCTCCCTGGGGCTCCTTTTCAATTTATATTGGCTTGTTTGTTACTATCAAAATCATATATATTCAGTGACTAAGCATTAGTCTAGATAGTACTTGGATGGGAGACCATGAGAACTGTTAGGAGAGACCATGAGAACTGTAGGGTGGGGTAGTACTTGAATGGAGACCATGAGAACTGTAGGGTGGGGTAGTACTTGAATGGGAGACCATGAGAACTGTAGGGTGGGGAGTACTTGAATGGGAGACCATGAGAACTGTAGGGTGGGGTAGTACTTGAATGGGAGACCATGAGAACTGTAGGGTGGGGTAGTACTTGAATGGGAGACCATGAGAACTGTAGGGTGGGGTAGTACTTGAATGGAGACCATGAGAACTGTAGGGTGGGGTAGTACTTGAATGGAGACCATGAGAGAACTGTAGGGTGGGGGTAGTACTTGAATGGGAGACCATGAGAACTGTAGGGTGGGGTAGTACTTGAATGGGAGACCATGAGAACTGTAGGGTGGGGGTAGTACTTGAATGAGAGACCATGAGAACTGTAGGGTGGGGTAGTACTTGAATGAGGAGACCATGAGAACTGTAGGGTGGGGTAGTACTTGAATGGAGAGACCATGAGAACTGTAGGGGGTGGGGTAGTACTTGGAATTCTGGGGGTAGTACTGAATGAGGAGACCATGAGAACTGTAGGGTGTAGTACTTGATGAGAGACCATGAGAACTGTAGGGTGGGGTAGTACTTGAATGAGAGACCATGTAGGAAGGGTGAGAGTACCCATGAGAACTGTAGGGTGAGGTAGTACTTGAATGGGAGACCACCAGTTCTGCAGAGTGGGACAGCGTTTGGCTGATCAAGAAAACGTGATATCAGCTCAAATATGCATGAAAATATAAATCCGGAAATAACTGCCTAAATGTTGTCTTCTCTGTCTGTACTCTTCACTATGGAGTAATAACAGATTATATATGGCAAACCCTGGGAATTAAGCTGTCAGAAGACCCTTCCAGGTGCTTATCTCTTCAGCAGTTATAGCACTTAGATCACCCAGCGGATCACTTTGTGGATCACCCAGCGGATCACTTTGTGGATCATTCAGTGGATCATTCATTGATCATTGTGGATTAATCTTGGCTGATTAATTTGAAAGTGGAATAATGTAAACATTTTCAACCTGAAAAACACAACTGCTCATTCAAAGACTAATTATACTCTTTTGCTTGTGATTATAAGATTGAAACCTATCCAGCAGTAATTAGAAGACATCTTCAGCTTTTTTAATGATCATGAATTACAATGTGAATTACATTCATGTATGTAAATAATTACAAAAGTAACCTAGGGATGTGACTGGGATGTGTGTGATATTGATATATGTAAAACAGCCTGATCTTTTGTCTACAGCAGCGGTGACAATGGCACTCGGTAGGCACATTGTATAGCCACAGGAGCTGATGCTTGGGGATGTTGTTGTTGTAGCCGATGCTTAGGAGATGCTTTTGGGGGTTTGCAAATGTTAAGGCTTCCAAATATCGCAGATATTGATACTTGCTTTACTGCTCAACTTTTGTGATCAAGAAAAAAACTTTTCGCCAAGTCAGTTGGTAAATATATATTAGGAGACACAGATGACAAAGCTGTAAGTGATGCAACTCACTGTTCAGATATAATTGCAGGTCCAAGTATTTCAGTTTATGTTTCTGGTCAACTTAATACTTGAGTTTGTCGGTTTCAAACATCTAAAACCTGTTTCACTTCGGCCTCTGCTCCACGATGAAGTTAACATTGTACATCACTTGCTTGATAACGGTGTTAGAACCTACACCAAAACGTCGCTCTGTGACTGTAATAAAGAAGTTGATCATCCATAAATAGTTATCCTTCCTTACTGCTCAAACTTCTATATGCCTCTCACTGATATAACTGAAATACTTTCAAAGTGGTATCAAACTTAGCTCACTGAATAAACATGAAAACAGTTGCTGCAGTTTTATTCTTTAAGTCAAATTCTTTACTCCCTAACAAAAGTTGAGTAGTATATTCCATTGTTTTCCTGGCTAAAGAAACTATTTGATGGTACTATTTGATGTATTTTGTAGTTACATTATACTTTTTTAATGGTTGTGTGAAGATTATAATAAAAATTATCACATGATCAGTGGGCATTTTTTGGTATATTATCTGTAGCTGTAGTTGGTATCTGTGTCTACAGCTTATTGAAAACATGGCTGTTTGAAGGTGTTTGTCAGGAATGGTATTTCACCAACTGGAATTAAATAGGCTTGGTCACAGTGCTTGGGGCCGGAATACTGTTCTCTATTAATGAGGATCAAGTGTTCACAGTTGCCTCTGAGAATGGCTATTTATGGATGGGTGTTGCCAGATCGAGACAAATGTTGTCTCATGCTTTCAACCACTTGTTTGTCTGTTCTGTTCCAGCATTTGTATGCAGATTGTAACGATATAGGTTTTATTTCTTTGAAAAATACATACTTATTTCATGACCTTATTTTTACCAAGAAAACTATGAAATGTTTTGGACGATAATAACAACCCAATAGTACATGATGGTACATGATGGTACTAACTTAAAACATGGGCATGGGTGGCTCAGTTGTAGATGTAATGAGTTGCTTCCCCTTGTCATATAAGGATACAATGATGATGAGTTGGAATACCATTTTCATGCCAGGGTTGGAAGTTAATAACCAAGGTCATGTGGACTAACATAGTGTTCTTATCAGCTTTAGTTCAAGTCAATCTCTCATCCACAATGATGATACACTTAGTTCTGTCAGTTGCAATCAGACGATTTATGCAGTAAAATATTTCCTCCTCTTCCCAGGGATGCTGACCAGCTCTCAGATCTCTCAGACACAGATGCTCAGGGACATAGTGCTGAAGACTTGAGTGATGATGAAAACACATTTTACGCAAAAACCTCTGAGGAACTTGCTAGAATATCTCGGAAACACTCCACAACTTCCGCACAAACAGACTCAGATGCGGACTCGGGGGTTAACTCTAAAATCTTAACTGGTGCTCTTCGGACTGAGTCGGGCCCAATTCTGGGACGCAATAATGGAGGGTTGGGGACAGCAGTACAAGGTACTGAGTCTAAAGCTGAACCGGAACCTCTGAAACTAACAGAGGAATTTGTTCCTGCTGAAGGAGATGATCCAACGTTTATTCTGCCGCCAGAGAGTGTTACCATTGCAGAAGGCGAGCCTCTGAAAATATCGTGTAGAGTTGGTGGAACTTCGGCTATTGGTAAGTCATTGTAATATTCGTGCATGTGATCACTTAAGGAGAATATTTGGAATACTTAAATGAGCAAGATAGTTTATCAACAAAATTTTATGCAAATGGTTCTGAACTGTTTCTTCATATTGTGTTGTTTTTAACAGATCTGTTCAGGAAAATTCATGAAAGTGTAAACCAACTTTGGCTTAGATTTATGAAAACAGAAACCAACATTAGCTTTGACCACACATTTTTTTTACATGAAGCCATAAAAAACAGCATTTTTAAAACATATTTAACTCCACAGTAAATTGTAATCAAATATCTTTTAATCTGAATTCTCCCAAAAATATTTTGATGAACTTCTTACAGCTTATGACAAAGTTTTGATAAGATGACTTTCTGTGTTATTCCATAGTCCAGATGTGATGGTTTGGAATTGTGTCGCGTACACAAAATATCTGATGCTGGAGACACAGTCATCTCTTTCAATGAATTACAATTGTTTTCAGATCCACCAAAACTTGGTAAGAAAGGTGGATGAAGGTCTATATGCCAGGCTGTTGATATCCATGTACCATCCTTGGCACACAGGGGATTATTTTAGTAAACACTGTTAACATGCCCGAGATCATTAACACATTATTGAGGATGAACATTTAATATTCTGAGGGATAGTGTTGCAGCTATTTGCAATGCATGGTGACTGTTATTTCCTCAGATTCATTTCCTGCTAAGAATGATTCAGTTCTTACTTGGAGTTAATCATTCTCAAAACAAAGGGATGGAGTGAAAGACAAAATCATCCCAATATACGATCCACATCTGCATATATATATATCACCATATATTTATTGTAGCAATGTGCCTAAAAATGTGTGTCAACTCACTCATTCCAAGCCACCAAATTGTTAAAATTGAGATTAATACCGATTGAAATCATACCCCTGTGTGCCAAGGATGATGTCCTATATGCTACAAATTATTGAGATATTCCCAACATTTATGAACAGTAGGTTGTCTACATTATTTAAAGATGGTTTGGACCAAAGCTTCTTAGAAATATATCTATATATAATGCATCATTATTGTTTGAACATGTCTGAAGTAGCTGAATCATGGTCATCTGGTGTTTGTCATAATATGTTTCATATATTTTTTTCCATTCAACCATGAAGATTCCAGGAAGTATCGTTCTAGTACTCTGTTTTGTCCTTTTCGTGATGTAGAACATTAGATGGTTTCACTTCATGTTTTCCAGTCCTTTCTGTCATTTTTTCTTTTTTTTTGTGCATTTGATACTCTTATTTTAAACACTTCATGAAACGGATGCAGAGTTACCCTTGGCTGTCAAAATCCTCTACCTCTATTATATCATTGCCATCATCTTGTGTGACTGAGCCTCGGTCATGAACTTCATAATAGTGCGAAATGATTAAATGGGTTTTTATAGAAAAGGCCTGCAAACCCTGTTTTGTATAGCTGTAATACTGTTGAAAGTTGTCTAAATGATCAACTCACATTAGTCAGGAGCATGGTGACTGGGTAGTTCGGACATTCAGTCCTCAATCTGACGATAAGAGTTTTACTCCCCTCTGGTGATGGCTCTTCTCACTTTTCCTAATGAAACGGCAGGAATAATGGTGAAAAGGAGATGTAAAACAGACTCACTGGGCCATAGGATAGCCCAGTAGTGAGGGTGTTTGCTCGTCACACAGATACTTCAGGTTTTATTCCCAACATGAGACAAAAGCATGAAACCCAAAGTTCTTGGCCCCTGTCATGACAGATGTAATGCGTATTTGATAAAGAATGCTGCCATGGACATTGTTTCCGTATCTGGTCTCTTTATTGTGGCTACAGATATTATTTATGATATTTTTTGCATGGGTGTAGTGTGAGCAGACAGCTGCCTCACATATTGGTGACATGTTTTTTTATATTTTATGTAATACATCATCTATCTCCAACACTTTCTTCATCTATTTCATATTGACTTGAAAGGCTTGAATGACTTTGTTAGACAGATGAACTCTATGCTTTGTGCATGCATGTTTCTGGGTCTTTCCTATGCTATATTATATTACCAAGAGAGGCATAGAATGTCTTGTGCTCTGATTAAATGAAAAACATTTTGTGTATGTTTGTGATTTTGAAGAGTCAATCTTGGTATCTCTGGAATTGAAAAAGAAATGACAAACATCACAACTTCCCAAAATATTCAGTCCTATGTGAGAATGTAAGCAGTATAAGTTGGAGCTTGAATTATGTGGTAACAGGGTATCTTGTCATATATAAAATACTCAGCCTTCACTCATGTTCCATTAGCATATACATCTCATATATCTCACATGCTACAGTTTTGCTCTGTACCACATTGTTGAAAGTGTTAAGTGTCATTATAATTCATAGCTGAAGGCATAGTGTGAAGTTGGCCTTTATGCAGGCTGTGAAACAAAACTTACCTCCTTTTACAGAAGTGTTATCACTAAATCATCTCCCCCTACTGGTATTACTGAGTTACCTCCCATTCCAAATGGCACATAGTTATCTCCCCTATATATATTGCATTTAACTGCCTCCCTTTACAGCTGTTATTGAGTAATCTCCCTAGATATATGCATAACTGAGTTGCCTCCCCTTACAGTTGTGTTACTCAGTTACCTCCCCTCACAGATGTTATTGAGTTACCCCCCCTCACAGATGTGTTATTGAGTTACCTCCCCTTACAGATGTGTTCTGGTACCGAGAGAACAAAGAAGTTGAGGAACTCGAGGACTCTGAGGACGTTGAGGTCACCAGTGATGGGGACAAGCACACCATCACCCTGTTCAACCTGACCAAGGACAAGGCTGGCCAGTACATGTGTATAGCCCTGAGTGACCAGGGAAAGTGCACCCAGTACTTCATAGTCACCATCACAGGTAAACTGAATACATGTTCAGCAATGGTTGTAATTCATACATGACAGTATGCATGAACCAAGCTACAATGAGATTTTTTCAGTCTGAACTACTTATTTCTACGTCCAAGATATTTTTATGGATTAAACTTCTTTTTTAAATTTCTCTCACGACGTTTCGAGACCATTCCAGGTCCCTTCATCAGGTGAACTCATGATGAAGGGACCTGGAATGGTCTCGAAACGTCGTGAGAGAAATTAAAAAAGAAGTTTAATCCATAAAAATATCTTTGACGTCAATGTACAACTTCTAAATGCCACTGAAAAACATCATACTTATTTCTAAACCAGAAGTAGACGGTGGTGCATATTTCTACTTTAACTGTGGGTTACTTGTTTACTTATCCAGGGATCCTATCTACAAATTGTTCATAGCATTACGTCATTCATAAGCCATCCATGTAAAATAGAGTTACGATAGGTTGTAATGTTACTAATGCTTTGTGGATTGGGACCCAGGCACTTTGAAGAATGCGAGATTTACAGGAGTCCATTTCAGAGTGAACTGGAATGTCTTGGGTGCTATCATTAATATTTGCAACCTGGACTTAAGATCTTTGTGATGGTATGGTACAAATGTATGTGTGTGACTAGATTGATTAGATGTTCTTTCGCATAGTGTATGTCATATTTAAAGTAATACTAACATGAATTGAGTAATTTTGCTCTTTCCTGAAAGACAAGGCATAAGGATCTTTAGCTAGTTCTGTGTGAATTAATATGTTTGCTTAATCTGTATCAGTGCTAGAGATAAACATCTTTTTCCTGTTTCCTCTAGTCATGTTACAGACAATCAGTTCCCTCAACCTGTCATGTAATGAACCCTCAGACTATTTTCCTTCCTCTTCCAGATAACAAGCAAGAGCTCAAGAAGCCGGAGTTCATCAAGGACATCAAAGACGTTGAGGTCAAGGAGGGTCAGAGTGTAAAGTTTAGGTGCAAGGTCAAAGGTTACCCTCAGCCCAGGGTCACCTGGTACAAAGATGGAAAATTGCTGAAGAACAGCAAATTTTGCAGACTAGGTGAGCATGTTTTCAGGCTTGAGATTTTTAAGAAAGTGAAAGGAATTAAGTCATGAAATAGGTGAGTTGATGAAGTTTGTAATGTTTTGTTGTTTGGTTTTCAGAAAAATTTGGGAACCGTGATTACATTTTGACGATCGACAATGCCACCCTTGATGATGATGCGGAGTACACAGTTGTTGCCAAAAACATTGCAGGAGATGTTAAGTCTACAGCTGAAGTTATTGTGGATTCGGATCATTTGGGTAAGTTGTAGACTAAAGCTTAATCTCTGAATATATATGATTTTGATAGTAACAAACAAGCCAATTTAAATTGAAATGGAGCCCCAGGGCGACCAGAGATTCAGAACTTGAGGAAATCTTGACTTGCTTTATTTAGGGCTTTAGCACTGCAGATAGGGCTTGGCAGTAGGGGAATTAATGTGGTTCAGGGACTGTGAGACTGTGAGCTAAAATACTACTTCTTCTTTGTCTTCATGGGGCTGTGGGGTAGCCTAGTGGTTAAAGCATTGACTCGTCATGCTGAAGACCTGGGTTCGATTCGTCACATGGGTACAATGTGTGAAGCCCATTTCTGGTGTCCCCCCGGCCATGATATTGCTGAAATATTGCTAAAAGCGGCATAAAAACCATACTCACTCACTCACTTTATCTTTATACATGGACTTTCATGTCTCTTCTGGCATTTATTTCATTTTAGGCGAATGAGTTTGGTTTTACACTGCATTCAGCAATATTCCAGCTATACGGCGGCGGTCTGTAAATAATCGAGTCTGTACCAGACAATCCAGTGATCAACAGCATGAGCATCGATCTACGCCAATTGGGATACAATGACATGTGTCAACCAAGTCAGCGAGTCTGACCACCAGAATCCCGTTAGTGTGTTAAGCCCATTTCTGGTGTCCCCCGCCGTGATATTGCTGGAATATTGCTAAAAGCAGCGTAAAACTAAAACTCAGTCAGTGATATCACATGACAACAAAGGAGAAGAACAGCTGGAATGCTAAACAATTACTGCCAGTGAACCGTTACAATATGTCAATGATTAGAATTTTCATTTCTGTATTTATATATTTATGTCACTTTTGATAAAACTGTTATAAATAAAAATTTAAATTGTGTATATATGTGTTTTGGGAAGGCACCGTCTTCCTAGAGAGGCAGTGGCATAGTCTAGTGGTTAAAGTGTTCGCTCACCACGCTGAAATACTGGGTTCGATTCCCCACATGGGTACATTGTGTGTTCTCCACATGGGTACATTGTGTGAAGTCCATTTCTGGTGTTCCCTGCTGCGATATTGCTGGAATATTGCTAAAAGCAGTGTAAAACTAAACTCACTCACTCTTCCTAAACAGGTGTGACTGACAGCTTTTGCTTCTCTTGGTTGTCAGAATTTACTACTCATCTAAACCATTACAAATGTTTTTATAAGAGTGGCCTCCCTTTGCATTGTCAGGATCCGCTGATAATTTTTTTCATGGTCAAAGACCAGGTCATAGTTTCCAATATTGGGGTATTATATGCTGAAGCCCAGTGAGCCTTATTAATAGGGGTTTAATCAAACACTCCAAAAAGTTATTACTTTTTTACATGAGGGTGTTTCATAAATGAAGTTAGTGCCTGGCCAAACCTCAGACGTTCAACATGTATGTCTTTGAAACATCAGAAGTGATTTTGAGTGATAGAATGTTTTTCTGTGCCACATTCAGTGTAAGTCTGGTTTTGTATACAGATTCAATACAACCGACAGGGAGCCAGGTGGTTTCATCAACACCCTCCGTCCAGCAGAGGAAGAATGAACAGAATCTGACCAACCTGAGTGACAAGGTGTTAACTGCTCGTACTGACATCACTTCCACAGCAGAGAAGATGCTGGGTACTGCCGAGGAGGTGAGTTCAGTGAGATAATATTGTCATGACATTTGTGCTGACTCTACAAAATAATATCTCACCACTGCTGACCGACATTTAAGTTCCTAAAATTTGTAAATGATTTATGTTTTAATTCTATATCGAAGTATTCACTGTATTTCATTGCCATTATTGTTTAAGTCTGTGTCAAATGTCTATATTTATTGAAATCTTTGTTTTATTCTTTAAAAGTATTCAACTCATAACTCGAGTGTCAATTTTATGTTAACGAGCACATCACTTCTAGCTAAAAATTTAATTCCCAAGCAATAAATGCTTCCATTCCCAAATTTAAAAAAAGTCTGTTTCTTCAAAAGCTTTGAAAAGTGAAAAAGTAAAGCTGCTGAAAGAAGTTTCATAAAAACTTTTCTTACATCCAACATGAAGGACATGAATTCCTTGTTGCCTAAAGAAATGTTTCTTTTAAGTCATCTACAACAGATATTTTTGCCTTTGAATCATTAAATTGAATACCTCTTCATCAGATGTCAGAGTCATAGTCATCTTATAATTGAAACTATTTTGTACAATAACCCCTTGTCTCTGAAAATGTAAGGCTTTCATTGGAGCATGCATCAAGATTTGAAATGAAAAGAAGCCGTAGTTAGTTGGGAGATTCCGAACTTAAAATCTATATATTAGTGCATTTAGCTCTACTAATCATTCACAATCATGTAGATTCATTGTAGTTTAGAGCTGAAATTTTTTCTAATTTTCTAACAAGTTACTAATTGCTTCATGCAGCTGTCATTCCTTAATGACAATCTGGATATCATGGACAAGGAGCTCACTGACCTGGAGGGGAAGATTGATGAAGAAAATAACAACCTTAGTCTTGACGACCGCCTTGGTGACACATCAGGTCTTGAAGCTATAGAGGATTATAGGGCAAGGGTAAGATGTCGCTGATACTTCTAACAGGGACTAACGGGATCGGGTGGTCAGGCTTGCTGACTTGGTTGACACATGTCATCGTTTCCCAATTGGGCAGATCGATGCTCATGCTGTTGATCACTGGATTGTCTGGTCAAGACTTGATTATTTACAGCCCGCCGCCGTATAGCTGGAATATTGCTGAGTGTGGCGTAAAACTAAGCTCACTCACTCACTCACTCACTCACTCACTCACTCACTCACTCACTCACTCACTCACTCACTCACTCACTCACTCACTGAAAGTGCAAGAATTAGGGATGAGGTGAAATGAGATTTGACGTAAACGTGTGTTTGGCTGCTTGTACTTGACAGGACTAATATCAGATTTATTATCCAAGCCTACTGAGATACCATGCCACAGGGAGTGGTTGGGTAGCCTAGTGGTTAAAGCATTTGCTCATCACACTGAAGACCTGGGTTCGATTCGTCACATGGGTACAATGTGTGAAGCCCATTTCTGGTGTCCGTAATATTGCTGGAATATTGGTAAAAGCGGCATAAAACCTGATTCACTCACTCATTCAAAAATGAGAAGCTGCTGTGATGCAATCTTTCATTGTGTTACCAAACAACTACTGATATTTAATGTAGAACAGGCATTGAAGAAAGAACAATCAAAAAATAGTTTTTGTAGTTAGTAGCGACCACTAACAGTGCATTGCTTTCATTCACATTGCTTTGGCTATACTAGATTTTGTTTTTTTCATAATTTTACTTAAGTTTATGATTATTTGTTTTCACTCATTTTGTTTTCATCTTGTCAACTTATGAAAAGTGATCAGATACGGATGTTTAGACTGAAGCTGATCAATTCTTTGACTGATCCTCAGCAAGAGAGGGGTGGTGGGGTAGCCTAGTGGTTAAGGCGTTCGCTCGTCACGCTGAGGACCCGGGTTCGATTCCCCACATGGGTACAATGTGTGAAGCCCATTTCTAGTGTCCCCTGTCGTGATATTGCTGGAATATTGCTAAAAGCAGCGTAAAACTAAACTCACTCACTCACTCAGCGAGAGAGATTTGAATGTCCAGAACAATATGCTAATTAAATTGTTCAATAGCTGGATGTAGTGACCTGTGCTTTGTCACAAAGTCACCACAAATATACAATTCTCATAAAAAATGATGAAGTTTTGTCTGTTCTGACAAACGTGATCAAATCGTTGTGGCTTCATGAACATGAGACAAATCAACCTGCTTCTTACAGACTTAATGACTACAACCTTTGTGAAAATCACATCGTTAATTTCATGCATGGTCAACTTTGCCTTCATTAAAATCATTTCTTTTGACAGGAGAAAGCAGCCAAAAATGTTCGCATGTTGACGTCATCCGCTTTGAATGTTTTACGCACAGCGGAGGAAATAATTCAGAATGAAAGAGAGACATCGAGTGACGATTTCATGACAAGTACTCCCCGCTTTGGGGATACGCTGAAGACGGACACGAGGAACAACAACGCCAATGACGACATGTCAACAGCGTCCACTGACTCCTTCATGTTTTTGAACAGCTTTGATGATTCAGGGAAAAATAATGGTGCTACCTCAAATGACACTCAGGACGTTAGTGATCGGCAAAATCGATTCAAGAATGTGAAAGAATTCTCGTTTGGTGAGACTGAATCGGACATGTCGGGTTTTCTAGGTAAGAAGAATGATTCGCCGAGTGGACATCGAGAACGATCCCTCTCACCAACAAGTGTGAAATTCAACTTGCCTGCTGAACCATGTGATCAGTCTAATGACCCTGTTAAGGAAGAAAAAGTCAACTTTGGGTCCAAAGGTGTGGATGATAGTCGTTATGGCAGAGATTACGAGTTGAAATCAAGTGGGAAGAAAAAGTGGGAGGTGAAAACGGATTTTTACTCCCCACAGGCTGAAATTGTTAACAGAAAAGAAACAGTTGAAAATGCGGAAGAACAGGTGAGATTTTATAAAAAAAAGAAGTTTTTTAATAAGAATGCATTTGGTTAATAATTAAGACATTGGTATAAAATGAAACCTCTGAAAAATGATGAAAGATGTGCAATCATTTTTGTCTTTTGTGAAATTGAATTGATTTTCAAATATAATTGAACATTTCCTTCTAGCTTTGGACATAGAAAATAGATATGCCAAGGCAGATATTGAAACATAGTTTTTGTATTGTTAGTTTTTGGGGGGCTTGAGTCGGTTTTTTTCAATTTGTGATCTTTCACATTACAAGGACAGAAAAGACATTCTGCCTCTTTTAACAAGTATGTTTTTCATAAATAGACGTTAAAAACTGAGCATACTGTATATAGATAACAACAAATAGTACAACTTTGTTGAACACCTGATTCCTTTCCTAGATTTACATGGCGGCTGGGAAAGTTTACAGCCTTGAGGATCGGGTACGTGACCTTGAGTCTAGAGTGACCTCTGGCAAAGGTCAGATGTCAGATCTGGAAGATGAAGTGGCAAAGGCTGTTGCACAAGTTGCTCAGAGTGAACGACAGGTTGTGATAAATGCTAGAGCATGGAGTAGAGAACTGATTATTACACGGCCTTAAGCAGTTTTGTTCATCATAACATTTAAATTATGATAAGTAGACGTGAACATATTAATTCCCTGGCTTTTGTAGGTTTATATATTAATTTAGTCGTGGTTGAGAATGTTTATAAAAAAATTGTGTCAAAAGAGAAACTGACGTAGCATATACAGTCTATGGTGACTAAAGACCAAGAATTCCTGATTCTATTCATTAATGTATTTTGACATTTTGGTAATGCTTCTTGAGAATAATTCAGTTCAAATTAAGGTGATAATTTTTTGTTTATTTTACATTGTAAGGCCAGACCAATTTTATTTCTTGTTTTACGGATCCGTCGGTTGTATTTTTTCAAGAATAAGGGAAAAAAAATAAATGAATTTTACCCCGCTCAAAAAATATAATCCTCACATTTTTATGTAAACTTAAAAAAAAGTGTTTTTTCTCCCATCTAAACTTCATAAATTGCCCCCAAAATACTTTTAGTAATTAAAAGGAAAATTATTTTGACTAGTGATTTTTATTTTTTGTTTATTTTCCCTCCTGCCTTTTGGATTTCTGAGGACAAAAATCCGTAAAACAAGAAATAAAATTGGTCTGGCCTAAAATGAAGATGCAATCTGTGTATTTTATGTGATCCAGTGCAAAAGTATAGTTGAAACTTTACCAGAAGTTGATGTTTGCAAAAAATACATTTACAACAAACTGCAGCTGTATTGGCAGAAAGACAGTTAATTGAATTCCATGTTTCCAGGTTGGCACCATTGAGCAGACAGTGAATCGTCTTCATGATTCATCAGAGTCATCGCTCTCTCCAAGAGCAGACAGCCAGCTGTCTTCTCCGAGACTGTCCATTGACTCAGGTGTATCCTCCATCCGAGAGCGTCCTCCGCCAACAGTCCTGGTTGGACACACCTGTGAGGACGAGGTTCCAGAAAGCCGAGGAGAATTTGATGCCGATTCTGGGATTGAGCTTCCATCAGTTAATCGCCTACGGGCCATGTTCTCGAAACCAAAAGAAGAGGACTTTGGAGACGGATCCTTCCAACGGGTTAGCCAATGTTGACTTTTGTGTGTTGTGTTCGCTTCTGGTGCTGCATGGCTCTCCATAACCCCACCATGTAGAGTAGGTTTCTGTGCACCATGTACCCATGACTCATATCGGGTGCTGTTGACCAGCACTTGACCAGTTAAAACTGCACATGGACACATGCTTTAAGGGAAGTAGTGCTTGGAACTGCTGTCTAACCACAATACTGTGATTACAATTCAAATGATCTGGCACAGTCAGACTAGTGCTATACATATGCTTTATGCTCTGTTTTGTTTTGTTTAACAAGGTCGACCTCAGTGCTATGACTTTATGATGACTTATGATGGTCAAAGTACTAAGATGCTATGGTCACATTTGAACAAACACTCTTAGTGCTAAGAACATCATAAGTCTTAGGTCAAAGTAGGTAGAATTACGTGTCGTTACATAGGTAGAGTTACCGTGTCTTGGCACCATATTTTATGACCAGATGTCCTTCACCTTTACTGACTGTGATTTATTTCCACATCAAAATAAACTTGAAAATTCTGGCCTTTTTCCATAAATCACTCCAGATGTGATTTTTTTATCCAAGCAAATGTAAATATAGTGTTCCTATAGTCTTCCTCTGATGGATAATCATAATATTCAGGTCTGATGATATCGAAGTCCGATTATAACACTGCTACTGATATGATATCCAGGTCCAACGACAGGGATCTTAGCTGGGGCTGTTTGTTTTCATTTACCATGGGGCGGTGGGGTAGCCTAGTGGTAAAAGCGTTCACTCAGCATGCCGAAGACCCGGGTTCAATTCCCCACATGGGTACAATGTGTGAAGCCCATTTCTGGTGTCCCCCGCCGTGATATTGCTGGAATATTGCTGACAGTGGCGTAGTACTAAACTCACTCACTCCTTATCCATGACATGGGTCTACGATGTCCTATCACTGAGACTGCCTTGTACAAAATACTTTTGTTATTCAATGTGTATATGTGCTGTATGTAGTCTGTAATGACACTACCAGAGATGAACTTTGCTAACAATTGTCAAATCTACTCAAATTGGTACACATTTGTACACATTTGTACATGTGGAATTTTGGACATTTTCGATGAGTTCTTGTGACAATGTGTCATCTCTGCTCTGTCTGTGCTTGCATAGTGGCTGTTTCGGGGCAGCCGTATAGGAACTGTGTCTTGTCTTGACTAGAAATGCTGACTTGGTTGTAAGTGATGTGCAGGTTGTTTTGTAATGTAATTTTTTAATATGAATAATTGGAAAGACATGAAATTGCATGTTCTTAAAAGATTGTGAAAATGACAAATTTTATGATTATCAGTAACATTGAATTCTTCAGTTTGCATTTTAAGTTAGTTGGATGCCGATCTTCAAAGGTAGATGCAAAATGTTATGCAGTCAATACGATTAGGTTGTTTAGATTAGAGATCTCTCAGCATTTCTGGTCAATACTGAGAAACCATATGGGACCAAGTTACTAACATGTACTAACAATCACTGCTTATGAAGTTGCATGCTTGGGTAGGCCTGTTGGCCTTGTCTAACAAGTGGGATGCTTGGAGCATTAACTGTGCAGATGAGGAGCCATTGTTTCTTCTATGCAAATTCAACCATATACAGTTTTGTAATTTGGTACTTGCTTTATTATTCAGTGAATTCATATACATTAAATGTGAATTTAAAAAAAAAATTGAAATAATAAATGTAAAATAATAAATGGAAAAATTAAATATTGGAAATTTTAAATGTGAAACAGTGGCACTTGATCTGTACTTGAGGGCTGGAGCTTGGTTTGTGTTGTGTGCCAGGTACTTCTTCATGCAACTAGTAATGTTACGTCGGTAATGTATTGTGATGTGATGTGATGCCTAACAGCAGATATTGGTAACCTGCCTCTTCCTGCTAACACAGGATCAGTTTGATGAGTGATGAACCTCAAAATTTGAGGTAAACAGAATTCTGTCACTGTGAAGTTGTAGTAATAGATTTTAGATCCGCTTTCAACCAATTTCACCTTGGAATATCAAGGCTGTCTCAAATATCAGTTGCCATTTTTTTCAGTTCAGATTTGGAATAAGTGCGAATTTTATCCAACAAATCTTTCATTTGTCTAACTGATTGCGAATGTTCTAAAACTAGAGACTATTTTCCTCCTGAAACCCTTCTTGAAACATTATCTGGTTGTATAAGAAATTTGTACCATGTTAAAAATGGATTAGACCAAATTGTCTCCAGTAATTTGTTTCATTTTCATCAAACTGAACCTTTCTGGAAAACTTCCAGAGGAATTCAATGAACAAATGTCCTTTGCGAAATATGATCATCTCATGCTGTTCACCTCTTTTATCCAGTGTATCGTATTCACATTTTTCTGTATAGATACCTCAGACTCATTCACCACCATAGGGTTGTTGGGGAGTTTACATACACCATCTCCATTGTTTTAGTGTATAACACTGGCTTGATTTGATTGGATAGCTATTTTTGTATTGTCATATTTAAATTCTGGCTAAAACCGAAACTAAGGTGGTGAATTGGTTAGGGTCCTCTATTATACTAGAAAGAAAATAATATTCTGGATAACAGAGGGTGTCCCCAAATATATTATTGGCATTAACTACTAGTATACTGCACTGCACATTTGTTCATTTCCATGGCGACCTTAGAGCTAAGGTGTTTTTAACTCACACACTTTAGACTTATGACTATCATAGTGCTACGATTGCTATGTGAAACGTGTCCCAAATCACGTAGTGAAACAATAATCACTGACTTCATTTTGCTGTTGTTAAGTTGCTTATGTTGTCTTGTTTATTAATGTTTACTGTCTCATGTTTATTGCAATACTTTATATTTCAGATCAACTAAAGGTTTTGTATTAGTGTTACTGGCTTTTAGAAATACAAAACCAATACCCCATTAACGAAAATATGTAAATGATTAATCATGAATCATATGTATATATTATCATAATGGCATGTTGTGTTAATTTATATTCATACCAATTTTTTGAAAAAAATGTTTTGTTTTTTTGAAACAATGGATTCAAGGTTTAATGATCTTTTTACAGAGATTTTCAATTATAGACGACTTCTTTGAAATAAACTACTAAACAGAAGAAATAGTTTTGTTATAAAGGATTTGTTTAGGATATTTAGGGCTAATTTGAAGGGTAACATTAGATAGACACTTCCAATGACTCCTTCCTATGATGGAAACTGATAGATACTGTGAACCATTCAAGACCCTACAAATGATGTATTTTGAGTTATTGTCCTTTTGGAAAACCAAATTATCCTTAAGATTTTGTCCAGTCAAGAGCATAGAGTTGGGATTATATATGACATATTTGTTCAGAGTCCTGGGGATGTTACTTCTTTTGGGGCTGTTTTACATTATATTTACAAAATACGGGGGGTAATCCCTTATCTTATTTTATTCTACAGTTGCATAGTGTTGGGATGGTTTATAAGTGAAATATTTGTTCAAAATCTTAGGGATGTTACTTCTCTTGGGCTGTTATGTTTATAAAGTGTAGGTGTTATCCCTTTTTGTATTTTTATTTTCACATTATATTTAAAAAATGCAGGTGGCTGTCCCTTATGGTATTTTATTCTACAGTTACATAGAGTTCGGATTATAAGTCAAATATTTGTTCAAAATCTTAGGGATGTTACTTCTGTTGGGCTGTTATGTTTACAAAATGTAGATGGTTATCCCTTATAGTATTTTATTCTACAGTTGTGTATCTAGGTGATACTAAACAGCTGTATAGATATTGTGGTGAAGTATCAGTTATTTCATCCAGAATCTGGATGCTTTCAGATCATGTGGAACAAGTTCTGGCACTGAAGCTCAAACACTTCAAATATCAAATTCCATTGCCCATTGTGATCGCAACAAGACATAATGTTCGGTTTTAGACAAGAAACCAATTATATATTGTTGTAATGATTTCTCCAATATCAAATCAAATTCATTTCTTTGAAATTCTTTCTTGGCTTGTTTGAAGTGTTTTGGTCAGATCAGAATGCCCAGTTGAACACAGCCTCACTTGAGCATCGTGTGATGCCATACATATGATCTGAATGATAGAGTACATACAGTGTATTGTGTTAGTGGCTTATGAACATACAGCAGATTAAACTCTAATTAAAATTTGCAGCGTGAATCTGCTAACGTGGTAAGTAGTGTCAATAACAAGCGATGACGTGTAAAGTCTTCGTAGATTTCAGGTCTATGCTAAACTGTCTTATATCATAACATGACCTCTCCTGCATAGAGATTAATAAATGAACATATAAATCACATGTACTGCATATTAATATATAATGTTTTTGTCAGAATCAGGCTAAGAACATTTTGGGTATTTCAATGTCAAAATGTGAAAGGAAAACTGAAAACATATCGTTAGCACTTTTTGTCAGAATGTTCAAACTATTGTCTTGACTCCAGATGTATTTTTCATCTGAGCAGAAAGGTTAAGTTGTACTGATTTAATATCAGTTTGTGGATTTTGTAAGCTCTGATATGAATATTTTTAGAAAACATTTTCCAGGTAGTTAGTGAAATTATCATTATTTGACTGGTTTTTGTACCTATTTTCAGTTTATGTTGAATCTAGTTGGCACCATCGAATAATTTATTCATAATAAAATTATACACATGAAGAGCACTCTATGCAGGAAAGTAACAATCTAGGTCCAACAGTTATAAAACTTCTATTGCATCTTTTTAGATCTCCATCTTCTTGCAGATATTAATACAAATGTGTGATCTACAAGCTAACTGCTTTACTCACTGCTTATATCCCTTTAATCTGTAAAAAGTTTCTGATTCAGCATTTTATCTTGTACACATTCATATCGTAGTCATGTACATATGTATATCTCATATCCAGAAATGCTGAATGATTTGACAAAGGTAAATCCAATCATTCTTGTTTTATTTGTCGTAATATTGGATATTTTTCTTTGATTTGAACAGTTACAATTTGGTACTTTTAGAAGGGATTAAGAAGTAGTCAGTCTTATCTTTAATTTTTGACTTTGTTGTGAGTTTAATATTTTTTCATATTTCTATTCACTTGATGAGGATAAATTTTGTAATTTGACTGTTTTGTTTTTTAAAATATGCATGTTTAGAGAACATTACAAATTTACAAATTCTATGACACAAAATTCTTTTGAGGATGTTTCTTCCATCTGTCTTTTATATACGCAATGCATTAACACTTCACTGCAACAACCAATCTCAGTAATTATAAAACTGTACCATTTTCTGTTTCTATGAGTTTTAAGGCAATCAAAGACAGAATCGAACCCAGTCTAGTGTGCTGCTTGTAGTAGCCTTGTGGTTAAAGCGTTGGCTCATTGTGCTGCAGACATGGGTTTGAATCCCAAATTCTACAAATCCTCATTTCTGGTGTCCCCATGCCATAATTGCTGGGATATTGCTGGAATATTGATCCCTACTTACTTATTCACCAACACCATCTTCACCCTCAAGACGGGAAGATAACTCTGGCATCACACAACTGTGCTTTTAAGTCTAGGTTCACCTGCTACAGCTTGTTATCACTGGTGTAACTACAACCCATGTTGACATCTTACTGAATATCTGTCAAATTGATTCATGCAGCACGTCATCAACGTTGACAGTTAAAGCTAACAAAGTGCTTACAACTATAACGTACAATTGAATCTGATTATTTCAAGCAAGGATTGAGTAGTTCACAATTCAACCCTTTCAATGACCAATTAGATACAGTTGTTTCAATTCAGTATTCCTCCTGATAAATGAATTTTGGATTTGGGTTTGAATTAAGTGTTGTCATTTTTTTATTTGCTAATAAAGAGTTTAGAGTGTGAACTGTTTGGTAACGGTTGAATTATTTTGGTTTCAGGTTTTCTGATTTTGTACTAATTTCCATTAATTTTAGTAAAGATGCATCTTTGTGTATAAATAGTGATATAACTACAGGATTTCACATTTCATGATCACCTTTTCATCAAGTTAGAGAATAAAAAGTATTCTCTCTTTATTGATCTTCAAGCATCTGTTCCAAAAGTTATCAGTTGTGAAGGTGTGAAATACACCTGTTTTGTACCATTATTTCAGGTGCATGTTTCTATTATTGTATAAATGATCTCAATGTTCATTTTAACAAAAGACTTCTTTACTTCCTCAGATTCACAGCATCACTGTGCGACATGTCCCTAAAGAACAGTTGGAAAGACTAAGAAGAACAGAGCTTGGATCTCCAGGGTCACCTCGGTTGGATGATCAAAGCTTTGACTACTCCCCTGACCAAACTCTTCTTGAAACCAGCTCCTCCTCAATGAACTTCACATTTGGAGCGCTAAAACCTGAAACACATAAAGCCAATAAAATAGTCAGCCTTCCTTCAGCTTCCCATTCTGCCAGAACTCCAGATCCTACTCTACCAGCCACATACAAAGATTTGGAACCAGGAAAAGAACCCGTTTTGATCTTCCCTGAACCATCCTCTTCCGCTTCCTCCCCAAACATTTCCCATTCTAGCATCACCATGACTGCACAGTCACAGCATCCTGGTCCAGCCTTTTCCTTCACTCCTGACTCTGCCAGTCCTCGTGCATCATCAGCTCATAGAACTGGAGTCAGAAGTGCAACTCCAGTGCCCCGAAAAGCAGATCAAGAACAGGAGCTTGTGGTCTTGAGAGCCACTTCACCAGGACCGGACACCTCTGCCACTGAAAGACCAAAGACTCCAAAAATCCGCAGTGGTGCCATATCAGCCAGAGCAGCATTCTGGGAAAAGAGAATCCTTTTCGGGAGTACTTCAGATGAAACTGTTTCTGAAGAATTTCCCGAGATGGTGCATGAAGCTGACTGTTGATGAGGCTGGATGTGCCTGTAGTGGGTTCTCTGTTCATGGATCAGAAAAAACTTGTGTTTGGACGGTCAATACTCCAACTTCAGTTCCAATTTTGTTTGGAAAAACTATGACAATAGGATTATAAAAACCAGCAGACATTCACATGCCTGGTCAAGATCACCTCAAAGGTCATGAATGGAAATGGTCTTTCAGTTCTTCTTAAGTGGCTATCATATCAGGGTATCAGACTGTCTTTGCACATAAGAACATCATGATGGTACCATAAAGGTTCATGAAATATTAGTCATAGTACCATTTATGTTCATGAAATATTCGTCATGATGGTTTTCAATTCCAGTTGATCTGGTGGTAGATGTACAATAGATATTCATTACAAACATCAATGCTTTATGGATTTTTCTAGTTTGACAGACATCTTTTAATCATTTTCACTCATGACATACAGTTGTTACTCTTAATTTAAAGTTGATGTCAGTACTTTTTGAAAATATTCTTGTGCAATTAAGAATGGAAAGATCTGAGGTTTTACATTTTTGTCTTGCTGCAATGTGTTCGTGGGTCTACAGAAAATGTTTCTGTTACATCATATCTCAGCTTACAAATTACATTGATTGTAACTATTATATCAATGACATTCCATTTGTGACTTTGTCATTACTTTAATTGGAATTTTCAAAGTCTCAATCTATGTGGCTTTGGTGATATCTGTGTGTGTATAGATGCTTTTGCATTTTAAGTGTATATACTCAAATTAATCAAAAATCAAAATATTTTTATACAATATTAATTGTGTGATACATGGCATACGAAGGAAAAATGAATAGTGTTCAGCTGGAATTAATTTGTAATTTGGTGATGATGGCAAAAAAGATTTAAAATGTGCATAGAAATTTTGGTTTCACATTAAAATCAAACATTTGCATAAAAGCATTTTACTTCAGCCAAGGCAAATTTTCATACGGAAACCAGTATTCCAGTAAAAATAAGATTTGCTTGCAACTTGACACTTGCCCATAGCATTTATACAAGGATTATTGCATGAGGACAATATGCACTTTAGGGCCTAAGGCATAAATATTTCAATTATTTGAATTATGTATGGCCTTGTCACTTTAATGAGAATTTAAATAAAGATTTAGCAGGGAGTTGGGTCAAATAACGTTTTCCACATTGTCATTTTCACTTTATTCTCAACCAGTTGCTTCAGCTAAATACTTCACTCTCATCACCAAAATGTGAATATGTATGATACTGATAAATCTTGATATAGGCAGAGTTAATTTATAACTTGATTTGTGGTCTTATTTTAGCCTTAAGTCTTCAGGTATTCTGATACCTGGAATTACGCAGTTCTTGCATGTGAATTAATGTTTAGTTTTATGTTATGCCAATTTTACGAATCTGTGATGATTTTCCGTTATGAAAATGGATTCACCACATAAGGTGGCAAGTCATTTGTTCAGCATTAAACTGTGAATAGTCGCTGAATAGTCAGTCTAGAGCATTGAGAGTTGGAATACTGTTCCTTGCTCATCACCTACTCTATGTTGAAAATTAAGTGCTATGTCTGAAATAATTTTAAGAAAGTTTCAGCACACCGTGAAAGTGGTCAAGTGGGTGATAGCAAAGATTACTTTCAATTTGTAAATGCAAGATAAACTGTTTTTAGGCATATTAATAAGGCAAAATGTGAATTTCTAAACATTATTTATGCTGTTTTTTCCACATGATAATTTATAAGAATACGTTTTATGAATTACTGTTTTGAGACTCTACTAAAGAGAATTAGAAAATTTGAACTTAATTTATTAAAAAAAATACAATTTCAAATTCAATTCTGGAAAAGTCAGTTATAGTATTGATCAGTATAGATGTTGCCAGTCACGAGTCTGGGCACTGTTGTACAAAACAACCTTACGCTTAGCGCTAAGCCAGTCGTAAGTCTATGTTCAGGTATAGGAGTTACGATGACCTTAGCCCTAAGATCTCTTTGTAATTGATACCCTGGCTAGCAATTCTCGAAATGTTCATAGACCCTACAAACCTCTTAAGCCCATTCTTAACACATTGGCTACGATCAAAGTTACGAATTCTTAGGGCTACGAACATTTCGAGAATAAGGGCCCTGGTCTATATGACTGAACCATTACTAATGTGATGGTGGCTTTAAATTCTCAAACAATTAGGTAGTTACCTCATACAGATATACACGATAAAGTTGTTCCTTGTACATCTGTTTGTATTGAGGGCTATGACCGGATTATAACAGATGATAATTATCTCCCCTTGTCATTCCATAGGTGATTTATATTAAATTCAATTGTTTTTAATGGTAAACTGTTTTCTATTAATGTGTATGTACATAATCGTAGTTAATGTTCACAAGAAATACATTCGACAACCTACCCGTAACATTAAAAGAAGAAAAGCATTATTATTAAGAACTCAAGATTTTACAGTTGTTAATCCCATATGATCAGAAGTAAAAAGATGTAACAGTTACGTTTGATACATCATTACCCCGTACATAAAGATACTATGTAATGTATGCCTAGCTGTTCGTAAATACATCTAACGTCCCAGTAATGAGAACTGCCGTATAGTCATGCTTGGTCAGATGGGAAGGTATACCTGCTTGTGCAATAAATGTACGACTCCAGTATATATGGCCCAAATGGACAAAAATCTCAGAACTGTACCTGTTAATTTTCCTTTCTGACAAAATTATGCCCTGACACATTGTGAAAATACAATAAATGTAATACAGTGTTGTAGTGAGTGAGTATGGTTTTATGCCGCTTTTAGCAATATTCCAGCAACATCACGGCGGGGGACACCAGAAATTGGCTTCACACAATGTGCCCATGTGGGGAATCGAACCCGGGTCTTCGGCGTGACGAGCAAACACCTTAACCTTTAGGCTACCCCACCGACCCAGTGTTGTAGTGTTATGCCCATGTAGTATTCATTAAAACGTTTCAGTTGGGGATCTATTTCATTCTGAGAAAATCTGAGGTCCCCCGGAGAAAATGCTATAGACAGTCCCATAAGAACAGATATAATGTGTGAAGCCCATATCTGTTGTCCCAAGCTGTGATATTGTTGGAAAACTGCTAAAAGCAGCATAAAACTAAACTCACCCATCACCTCACCTTAGGAACCAAAAAGGAATCAGTTTGTTTTTGATGAAGACAACATGACAAATGCCCACATTTTCCCGTGAAATGTTTCAGAGTTTCACTTTGGGATTGTCCTTTTACCCAATAAAATCAGAGGTGCCCCCAACCCTGTCAAAGAATATGAAATATGAAATATACTGCTCCTTAGGAACAAAGTAGAATCAGTATGTTTTAGACTTGGGTCATGTGACAAATTCCCATTATACTTTTTCCTGAAATCTGACAAATACCCACATTTCTCCCTGAAATGTTTCACTGTTTAACTTGGGGATTGTCTTTTTTCCGGACAAAATCAGAGATTCCAACCACCCTGTCAAAGAATATGAAAAAAGTTCCTAAGGAAGAAAAGTAGAAGCAATATGTTTTAGACTGGGGTCATATGACAAAATCAATGGCACCCCCACCCTGTCAAAGAATTAAGATAAGACAGCACCTTTGGAAAGGGGAATCTTGGGTTCATAGAACTTTGCATATTTTCCAGATATCTGACATAGGTAATAGAATTGTGCCTAAAAGTCATAGAACAACATCAAATCATTTCTTTAAAATCACTCGTACATTCCTAACATTGTATTTTCACTTTGTGTTAGTGTAAATGTGATAAATATTCAAAACATGTTATAAAACCTTAATCTGTTTTCAGTGTTCAACTCATTTTCATGTTAATTATATTCAGTTAAATAACCTGTTTTAATATCTTACTGTTTAAAGGTATATAAAGTCATTAGAATGTAATTTGGTTAATCTTATAATGTAATATTTGACTTATGAAAGATGTCTAGATGTACCTATCTTTAACATGTATCTGTTATTGTTCTCAGTGTAATATAATATCTCAAATTAATCTGTCTCATAGATATTATTTATTAATAAACTTTTAAAGGTCTAGTAGGCAAGAATATACCATTTCATCTTTCATTGAAATATCAGACAAGTAATGGATGAAATGTATCAGTTTGTGAAAATGGTTGTGGTGAAAGTATATCACTAATCTTTCATCATCATAATGAAATATGGGAATCTGCATTAAGAACATATTTATTTTGAATATACAGCAAAGCTAAGTCGTACAGGAAGGATACTCACCTCTCAACGCCAGAAGGATATTAATGGTTGTAAATAAAAACATTGTTTTATACATTGTATATATACACGAATCATGTATTTCCTATTATTCTATGTATTTTTATGTTATTGATGCAGAGCTGTAAAGTTCTACAGAAATAAAATAAACATGTTACCAACAAATATGTTGTCTATTCTGGGGGCCATTTTGGGGGCCATCTTGTGGGGACAGGACAGTCATGTTATGTGAGGCGCAGCTATTGGACGAATGGATCAGGTGGTCAGGCTTGCTGACTTGGTTGACACATGTCATTGTATCCCAGTTATGTAGATGCTCATGCTGTTGATCACTGGATTGTCTGGTTCAGGCTCGATTATTTACAGACTGCCGCCATATTGCTGGAATTATGCTGGGTGGCGTAAAACTAAGCGCACTCACTCACTCAGTTTGCTATTGGACTTGCTTCCCTTAGAGGTGTCAGGGACCAGTGCTCATGGGTTTGAATCCAGATTTGTCCTGACAATGTTTCTAGGTTATACTTGTTTGTATGATTTAAGTGGGGAAATCACAGCATATTTTGCCTGCATTACATGTATGGTTTCTTCCTGCTAAAGCTGACCTGACTGAAAGTGTGTTCAAACCAGCTCTGCACAAAACTCAGTCATTATTATAGTCACTTTTATGGTTGTTGAACTCCATGCAGCACAGGCATGTTCTATGTGCATTCAACATAAGGAACGTTCATAATTTATGGCAAAGGTGTGTGTGTGTGTGTGTGTGTGTGTGTGTGTGTGTGTGTGTGTGTGTGTTGTGTGTGTGTGTGTGTGTGTGTGTGTGTGATATGTTGATGATGATGATGACTTTTAAGCAGAAGCATGTACAAAGTAAGTGCCCCCCCCTGCATATCATGTACAAAATCAATGACCCCCTCCCCTTCCCGTAATTTTTAAGTATGTTTTAATATTTTTATGTACAAAATTGCTGACCCCCCAGGACAAAATGAGTGACACCCCCCCTCTCTTAAAATCATCATCATATCTCTCTCTCACACACATACACACTCACACATACACACACGTACAGACACACAGCAAGCTATAAATATGAACGGTCCCTAATGGACATCATTTAACCCTTAACCCAAGCTGCCTGAGAGACACGAAAAGTTAACAGTCACGACTTATTTCACGGGGTACCCATTCACTGCTGGGTGAACAGAGGCAATTGTGAACAAACTCACCTGCCTAAGGTGAGACCAGGAAAAACTCAGGAGTCAAGCTGCCAAACACACCTACCAAGGACTCTCTAAGCTAGGGGCGGTCGAGTAGCCTAGTGGTTAAAGCGTTCGCTCCTCACGCAGAAGACCCAGGTTCGATTCCCTACATGGGTACAATGTGTGAAGCCCATTTCTGGTGCCCCCCGCCGTGATATTGCTGGAATATTGCTAAAAGCGGCTTAAAACCAAACTCACTCACTCACTCTAAACTGGGTTGTCATTGTGTACAGGTTTCTCCTTGAGTAATGAGTCCCAGTCCTCTAAAGCACTGGAATACTCTCTGCAGAGTTTTATACCTTAGATATGCCAGAAAGTGTAATGATGGAGTCGAATTCAAAATTAAGATTCAAAGTTTGAATCCAAGTGGGATAAGTGGACTTGTTCATCTGACATAAGACTGACAGCTGCTCCAACCTCCAACCACTAGTAAGAGGCGACTAACAGGATCGGGTGCTCGCTGACTTTGTTGACTGTCTGACAGTTGACACATATAATCGTATATCAATTGTGCAGAACGATGCTCATGATGTTGATCACTGGATCGTCTAGTCCAGGCTCGATTATTTACAGACCGCCGCCATATAGCTGGAATATTGCTGAGTGCAGCGTAAAACTAAACTCTCTCACTCTTGAGGAAGTTAAGGCTCCCTGGCTTTGTGTCCATCGCCTGTTTTGGCATTGAGCAGGGGAAATTGGATCAAATTACAGTTTCATCGAAATTCCAAGAAAACAGTGAAAACTAATTGAAACAAACTTCATTTAAAGAGGAGGATGTGATTGCTGAAAGTTAACAATCACACTTTAAAATTTTGGGGAAAAAACCTTGACACACTAACTCACTCCAACCACTAATTCATTGAATATTTTAGGAAATGTAGGCTGCTGTAGTGAAGGTTTGACAACACACAAAAGCAACAGGTTGAGTTCTATGGAAACTGAAGTTTCCCCGTGAAGATCCTGTTTAGAATTGGCCTTGAACAACCAGCTGTGATGATTGTCGAAAGAGGCGACTAAAGGGATCGGGTGTTCAGGCTCGCTGACTTGGTTGACACATGTCATCGTATCCGAATTGTGTAGATCGATACTCATGCTGTTGATCACTGGATTGTCTGGTCCAGACTCGATTATGTACAGACCGCCGCCATATAGCTGGAATATTGCTGAGTGCGGCGTTAAACAACAAATCAACCAACCAAAACCAAGCTGCGGTTGAGAGATGCGCTCTACAATCATCACAAAGTGTTCGTGACAGTGAACAAACCAAGTTGAAGTATAGTCCGTTTGGCTCAAAAGCGGACCGATGAATTGCAATTTAACTCGAAAACTAATAAACATAAAATACTCAATGAAACGCTGATCATAATCAAAACATCATACCCACTCTGTGAGGTTTTTGAAGAATTTTTGTCCTAAAAATAATAAAGTTGTTTAACAATCTATCATTAAAATATTGACACAGTTCACTATTTGTTACGAAGGAGGAGTGCAGAGAAAGGGACAGCCAGGTGTTCGAGAACGGATGGAGACGGCACAGCACAGGTTAATGAATAAATAACTTTGTCTGTGAACGTGCTTTTCGAACACCTGGCTGCCCCTGTCTCTGCACTCCTCCCTCGTAACAAACAGTGAACTGTGTCAATATTTGAATGATAGTTTGTTAAACAACATTATTATTTTTATGACAAAAGTTCTGCAAAAACCTCACAGAGTGGGTATGATGTTTTGATTATGATCAGCGTTTCATTGAGTATGTTATGTTTATTAGTTTTCGAGTTAGATTGCAATTCATCGGTCCGCTTTTGAGCCAAACGGACTGTAGTCATACACGCAACTTGCAAAAAGTGTTCTTCTCAGCATTCGAATTTCGAAATAACCGTCGGCCCGGAGGCCCAGCTCCGGTTGTTATTTTATCAGGCCGACAGTTTCAACTATTTGCAGGCCCTTGTGGCCTTCAGTAAATTATCTGTCAGGGTCGTTTTCTTTGCCTGGAATTTTTCACACAATTGTTTTCTTTATTAACGCTTGGGAGTCCATGATCCATGTTGCGATAACTTACAGTTTCACTTCCTGGTGTTTCAGCGCTTTGCGCATATGAATGTCAACACCAGTCTTTAACAAAAAATAACCCCAACTTCTCTGTGTGCCATAGGCTTCGCTAATTGACTTTGTAGAAACAGTGTGAATCTGTGTACAATGCATTTATTTTGTTTTTATTAGTTTGACTTTAACAAATTGGGCCTGCAGATTTCATTCATGGCCTGTAGATTTTAAAACCTGCAGGCGGCAGCAGGCCCTGGTGGCCAACTGGCAAATTAAAGTATTGCAAACACTGGTTCTTCTAACACTGGGGCATTTACAAACTATTTGTATCTCAATAAACTTAGGTCGTCATAACATTGGCTTACTAGAAAAAGGAAAAGTCTGAAAATGTCTCTACTCAGTACCCCAGCACGGTTTTATTGTCTTTGATATTTTTGATATCAATGGCTTTCCAAAATATCCATGCTTCTTATACTTGTGAAACTGAAAAGTAGTTTTGAATATTGTTTGCAAATCAATTAATTTGTTACGGATGTGTTGTGTAGGTTTCTGGAGCGATTACTCATTCTGTTGAAGAAGGGAGTCTGAACATCGTGAAAAACTCAATAATGTGAGAAACAACGCTATTCGTACACCTGAGGCAGGTGAATTAGAAATATCAATGGCATTTCAATGTTGCCATAGCTCAAAACCCCGACAAAGAGCATGTTAATGGTAACATGGCACCACTACTCGTCGTGGAAGATCAGAGAGACCCTGATTCTCCACAACAGCTCACCATCGCTGCATCCGTTTCCTTAAACTCAGAAACAGGACTTGCAATATAAATTCCTCGACTTCTTTGTGACCCACTCGTGCTATTCCGGGGCAAGGTTACAGAAAGGGGGATCTAATTCATCTTAGATATTAGTCTTTTTCTTGCCCTTACAGATTTGGGAAATTGTCATTGTTCATATCTATACATAGAGATGCAAATCCTAAAGATAATCCAACACATTTACAGTCCAGATAGTTATGTTTTATTTCTGAAATTTGATATTTATGAGGGAATGTTAATACAAGTATATAAATCATGAATGGGTAGATGGTTTTGTCTTTGTAATTGTGCTATTTGTTATGTAAAACATAAAACCAAACAACAATACTGTATTCACGTTTATATTTTGCTGATGGGACTCCTGATGTCATTTCAAATCTTTTCAGTTCAAAATATGTTACATGTGACATATTTATAAAACAAACTATCTAAACGATGAACGATATATCCTGCCATACTGAAATTTGTGCTGAATCCCTGGGATGGCTGTCAAGTGTCATGGGTTGAGGACTGGTCATTCATTCTTGGAAAAGGGTTTGCCTGGAACTTTATCAAGGCATTGACATTGTAGATGTTTATCAGAACTAAACATCCTGTAGTTGGAAAACGGTAATTCCTCGAAATATTTCATTAATTTCTTTAAAAAAGAAATATTGTCAACAAATAACAATGAATACAATGTCTACAATACTTTAACTGGAAAATATATTTGCACTTTCAAAGGAGAAGACAGTTTATGTTGGAAAGATTCTTGGCTATACAAGGATTCCTATTGCAGTATTACTATATTTACTACCATAAGGTGTTTCCACCAGTTTATCCAAGTGATAATTGAAACATTAGTGGAAACTTTCCATCTATACAAATTTGGTCTGTATACTGAAGAAGAGGGAAAAGAATTCAGTCCCACACAGAAGTTTGGCAACTACCTAAAATGAAGACTGTCACAAATTCAAACTCGCTGCAATTATGCTTTCATTTGTAGACAGCAACGTAATCAAGAGTGTGAAAATGTTTACATGGCAATCCTCAGTAGCACTGGTTTAGCT